CTCCTCATTGGCCGCAGGCTCGGCCGGCTCGGAGCGTGCGTAAGCTGAAGGTTCCTTCCGCCCCCCGTCTCCGTTGAGTGGAGACAGGCGGAGCGCCGGCCGGCTACGGGGTTCGGTGACCTCCAGTGAGATCAGGAGGTGAGGCGGCGGGGGCCGCGAAGGGGAATCGCGGCGGCGGGGAGCGGGGCCGCCGTGGCCGGGGGGTGGCTTTCGGGGCCCGAGGGCGGCCGTTTCCGAGCCCCGCTAGGCCTTGGGAAGGGGCCGGCGGCATCTCCGGCGGACCAGACGGCGCTGCGGGGGAGGCTTGGCTGGGGTGCGAGCCCTTGTCCCCCGCGGACTTGGAGGAGATGTCCTTGAGGCGCGGCCGATGGCGGCCCCGACACCTGTGCCGGGGGGTGGGGGGGAGCCCCGGGGCCAGGCTGGGCCTGAGCGGAGGGCGGCGGGGCGGACCAGCATCTGCCGGCCCTGTGCGATCGGGGCGGTGCTGGCTGTGCTGTCTCGATCGTGGAGGTGAAAGCGTGCCAGGGCGGTGACCTTAAAGGCCCCCCGATGGGAGGGATGTTGGGGGGCCGGGGGTCGGCCCGGCCCGCAGCTCGCGGCGTGAGCGCTGGAAGGTCCATCCGGTGCCGGCGTCCACGCCCAGGCGGTGCTGTTCGTCTGCACCTTCTTCCTAAGGGATGTGGCCGATCCTAAAGGATGCCACTCACTCAGCGGTGAGAAAGCTGTGGGTCTGCACACAGGTGCTCGGTGATGGCCGGGAGAACCGGGCTCAGGATGCGGCACCCAATGTCAGGAGTCACCCAACGACTTACAGGATTTTTCTTTTTTCATTTTCATTTTCATTTTTATTTATTTGTAAGGGGCGTAGACTCCTTATGGCCCATGTCCTTTAGTCCAAACCTTTAGGTGTTGCGGAATTAGTTGGCTTTAGTTAGGGGAAAAAACACCTATCTTGGAGGTTCAAATATCGAACAGTCAGATCTCTGCGGTGGGAGAAGGTTGATGTGTACTCCATCTTACTCGGTGTATTGACATATCCCAGGACTTGAGGACATGCTTTCTTAGGTTTGGTGATGAAAAGTTATGGGAAACATTGTTTTCCAGGCCATGCTAAGTAGTCATGCATAATGTGAACATCTCACGATTGTAGAAAATGGTTTTTTTTTTTTTGCTCGTGAATGTATTTTTCACTCCATGCAGGGAAAGACATTTTATGATTTAGACAGGCTATCTAGCAAAGGCCTGGCGTGTACACACTGGGGATGCATAGAATGGATTTCAAGGACCTACTTGGTTGTAATGTCTTTTCAAAATTTATGGTAAACTTGCCAGTGAGGAATAATGGGAACTAGTAACGTGAAGGTTTAAAAAAATTGTGCAGAGATCGCCAAAACTGGATTGGCTCAGTGGTAGAACGTCGGTCTGCGGACTGAAGGGTCCCAGGTTCGATTCAGGTCAAGGGCATGTACATTGGTTACGGGCATACCCGGGAACGGGGTGTGCAGGAGGCAGCTGGTTGATGATTCTCTTTCATCGACGTTTCTAGCTCTCTATCTCTTTTTTCCTCTCTGTAAAAAAAAATCAATAAAATATATTAAAAAAATAAAATTAAAAAATTGTGCAAAGACACCATTAACATGAAAACTCGCGTGTGGCACGAGCATTTCAAGATAAAGTGTGTATGTGGATGTGTGTGCTCTTTTTTTTATTGTATGATCCAGTTATAGTCCATGGATAATCAGATATACAGGAAAGGAAAACAAGTAGGTTTACTGTTGTTCCTATGGAAAAATAACACAATAATTAGTAAAAATATAGTAAGAATAAGCTGTTTCACACATTCACAACTGTAAATCTGCTTTTGCCCTACCCTGCATATGGATAATCCTTTTAGGTTGATCCATATGAAATTGTTGATACTTGAAATTTGACTTTTTTTATCTACAAAAATAACAGTTTCATATAGTTTCACTTAATACTTTGTCAAACTCTGGAGCTCTAGCTTTATAAGTGAATAAAGAAAGATGTGACTTACCAGCAGGTAGCATATACTAGAATTGAGCGTAGAGTCCATGCTTCTTGATTTCCAGCAGGAAATTATTTTTTCCCTAGGAGACTAGGTTGAATGCTAGATCCTGTTGGAAATGTCTGATAATAAGACAAAGTATTTACCTTCAAAGGAACCACGTACATAGCAATTAATTTGAGAGCAGTGTAAGCTAGTATAATCAAACTCTGGAATGTGTAGCACAGGTGGAGTGCTGAGGGGGAGGCAGGAATTAGGGCAGGATGCCAAAGCATCCTTTTCTGCAATTGGCCATCGTAGGTGGTTTCTGTAGCATACTGGAGAGGAGCTGCAGGATTCCATTGAATTTAAATTCTGCATGCTTTTGAAAAACCTTGTGAAATGTTTGTATCTCACGTCAGTCTGAATAAGCAAGGCATACATTGCCTTTTTTACTTGATTTTTAAAGTAAATTTTATTTTTATTGCAGCATGGCATAAATACTACCTATTGACTTTGCATGAGCCGACCTGTAGCCTGCTGGTGCCACTTGCAACTGCTGATGAAGGTGGAGATTGGATTCCATGGCATTTAAATGCTTTGCATAATCACAGAGAAATGGGGAGGGTGCTCATGAGAAATGAGTTTGCAGTTACGGTTACTTTTGACACACCTTTGTGTATTCCATTACTCAGTTTGTATTTCCAAATAGTCAGGTTCTTTATGGTGGGGTATGGTTTAAGGGATCATGTGTAAGTATTTTCCTGAATGTTGCAAAGATGACTTTTACCCAGGAAAGAAATGTCACAGAATTGATAGTGCTACCATGAAATCTTTTTGAGGGAAAATATAATGTGCTGAATATATAATTATAGGTTAATAATGCTAAACTGATTTGTGATCAAATTGGGGTGCCTTCCTGCTAGTAGCTCAGATTTTAATTCAACTAAATTAACCTTTTAATAGTGAAGGATATGTTGAGTTGATAGGGATTTACTTAAATTGGAGGGTTTTGGGTGAGGAAGAGTTACAAATCATTTCAACCTAGTTTTGACTCACCTTGATTTTTTTAGATTGGTTTGCAGGTGTGTTTTTGTTTTGTTTTGTTTTGTTTTGTTTTTTTAGTATAAGAAAGAAGTTATGTGATGGAGGACCATCATGAAAAACGAAATCTCTTGTGAGACTTTTGGTTGTAATGAAGTAGGGTTCAAATCAAAGATATGGATTAATAATCTCTAATACTCTAAGGCCAGTTCCTTGCTAATTTAATAGAAAGTATTTATGTTATTGTTCATAACATAACATAAAATGTAGCCTCATTCCCCACCTCATCTCTCTGTAATATATTCCCTGAATACTCTGCATTCAGCTTTTGACTGGGGGCCAAGAATGGTGGGGGATTATATTCAGATCTTGGTGACTTAAAAAAATTAATCTTTATGTCTCGATGTATCAATAAAATATATGCTGCTGTAGTATAAAAATTTATTTTTAATTAAGCAGATATTTGTTGAGCAACTGCTATGTATGAGTATAAGTGCTAAGGATAAAATGAGTTAAGACAGAAGAGAAGGTTGAAAAACATGAATAAACACAGGCAGATGCATGACACATTTATATATTTTAGTGACTGCCAGCTTTTTAAAATGGAGACCCACAGTACAAAATACATGTAATGTTAGAAGCCAGTACACATAGTCATGTATGTATAGTTTCATGAAACAAAGTTTCAAGTAGTAATGCCTACTCATATCATATTACCCACAGCTATTTTTTTCTATTTTATTTTATTTAATTAAAAGATATTTTTTTTTCTGATTCAAAATTGGTTTCATAATTTAATTGATCTAGTGACTTGTACTTTGAAAACCATGTATGGTTGCTATGTGAAGAATATAGAGGAATGCAGTGAGAGATGTTTGCTTTGCTTTCTTTAGATAGATTTGGTCCCTTTATATATATGAATGCTTTCTTTACCTTAATTTTTTTGCCTTTTTATTTTCTGACTTCAATCAATAAATAATTTTCTGTGAGATTCATTTGATATTTGCTAGTGTCAATCAGCTTGTATTTTACATCTTAATTTTAATGGATTTTTATGAGTAGTTAATATTCTGTTATAGCATTAATTTTAGAGTAAGAAGACTTGTAAGTTCCTATATTAGAGTTCAATGATTATGTTAGTTTTTTTTTTTTTTAAATCAGAATATCTAAATTATTATTTAGCCAGCAAACATGGGGAAGTTGAGTCGTGGAAGGGGTAGATCAAAATTACCTATATGTTCTGTGGGAATTTTGGTTGGCCATCCTCTTCTTTCAGTAATGTAGCATTTTGATTAGCCATAAGAATTTGGTTTGGGAAAAGACTTTCTCTGGTAATGAACACATTAGGAAGCTAAGCATCATTTGGCTAGTGACATTATGCTATATGTTGGATGGAATGTTAAAATATAATGGCCTCTTCCTTGAGGGGTTTTAAACTAAGATAATTTACAGGATACTCAAGGAGTAGATTCTTTAGTATTTTTACCTTTTGCATAACCAGGATGTGGAGAATGAAGAGTGTGCTTACATGCATTTTACATAATTGGAAAATAAGTATGAATAGCTGTTTCTCACTTTTGTTTTCTACCTTATTGCTCTCTTCCTTGGCTCAGATAATATCAAGGGCTGAGATATTTATTTGTTTTTATATTAAATGCCTGAATTCATACAATTGTAAGAAAAAGCTGTTCTTTAGTTGGTTGCTAGTGAATAATAGAGGATGCAGGTGTAGCGAGTAAAGAAGTACTAATAACAGTCACCTATTTTGTTCTTTTTAACTATTTTCCAAAATTATAAGGAGCACTATCAAATAGTGTTATTCAAATGTACAAGATACTGTGCATACAATAGCACGGTTTATAACATTTTTTCCCCCTAGAAATACAGTCAGCTGTATACTAATTATTCATATTTGCATTTCCTTTCAGGATCCAAGTATTCTGTAGCCACAATGTTGTCAAGACTTTTCCGAATGCATGGCCTCTTTGTGGCCTCCCATCCCTGGGAAGTCATAGTGGGGACAGTGACACTGACTATCTGTATGATGTCCATGAACATGTTTACCGGCAACGATAAGATCTGTGGTTGGAATTATGAGTGTCCAAAGTTTGAAGAGGTTTGTGAAATTAATTCAATATTGGTTCAAGAAAATTACACTTTCAACTTCTAAAGAGTATCTTATCTTCTTTTAGAGACCATACAATCAAAAAAGTCAAGTAAAATATCTTTGTATTTATGAATTTAACTTCAAATTTTCATTTACTAATGTAGTATGAAAATGTACTAGAAACATGCTTCTTTTGCCTTTCTCTACACAAATGAGTGTAATTGACTCTACTTGAGAAATATAGCTTTTATAACTGACCAACAGTGAGTGTTTGGCTTTAAGTAGATTGTTATTTAAAAATTGGATTTAATTAAAAAATATTTTTATTGATTTCAGAGAGGAAAGAAGAGAAAGATAGAAACAGTGATGAAAGAAAATCATTGATTGGCTGCCTTCTACATGCCTCCTACTGGGGATTCAGCTCACAGCCTGAGACCCTTCTGTCCCCAGACCTATGCTTTATCCACTGAACCAAACCAGTTGGAGCAAATTTAATTTTTGACTTGTATATTTAATATTTTTATTTGACTTGTACTGTGCCTACACTTACATTATCATAATATGTAAATGAATGATATTTTATCTTAATATATAAACAAATGATGCATACAAAATAAAAATTCTTATTTTTGATTGCTTATTTTAAAAGCTATAGCTATTATAATTATTTTTTTGTCTCTCCCAATAGGATGTTTTGAGCAGTGACATTATAATTCTCACAATAACACGATGCATAGCAATCCTGTATATTTACTTCCAGTTTCAGAATTTACGTCAACTTGGATCAAAATATATTTTGGGTAATCATTTTATACATTTAACTTCTTTGTGTGCCATCAGATTTTTTTACTTGCTGTGGAAATACGCCTGGTTGTTCAAATCATGTGTATGGAAATGTGTGTATTGCTTAATGTGTGCTGCATGCATTTAATAGTTTACTTTTTATTGGGAGTTAGACATTCTAGTATTTAAGACCTTAATCTGGAGAAAAATAATAATTCTTTTAGAATATTGATAAGTTTGTATGTTTTTCTTGTGTGTAATAAAAGATGAAATTTTTCAGTTTGTTGAATTTTGTCATTTTAGGTATTGCTGGCCTCTTCACAATTTTCTCAAGTTTTGTATTCAGTACAGTTGTCATTCATTTCTTAGATAAAGAATTGACAGGCTTGAAGTAAGTATTTAAAGCATAAATATGCTTTTTTGAAAATATTTTATATATTTCATATTATTTCAAAATATAGTAAGAACTTCTAAAGTTGTAATATATAAATTTTCAGAAGTTTTAGAAAATACAAGGAAAGTTTGCATGCAGTCTTTTAGCTATTTTTAAAACTTGTTAACATTTTGGTATATATCCTTTGCCACTTTTTTTTAATACTTAAAACTTCTGAGGTCATCTATAATAATAAAAGTGTAATATGCTAATTAGACTGGACAGCCAAATGACCTTCTGAATGAATCCAGGACTGCCAGGGCCCAGGCAAGCCATAGTGGCTGCGAGGGCCAAGCCCCTGCACGAATTTCATACATCGGGCCTCTAGTGTATACATACTGCTTTATAACTGAATGCCTACTAAATAGTTCATCAACATCTTTGCATGTTCTTAATATTATACTAAACTAAATTATTTGTAGTGACTGTCTAGTATTTCTCTGTATAAATACATTAAGTAAATACATTTACTTAACCTGTATGGCTGGATTATTAGGTTATTTAATTTTTTTCATTAATAAAAACACCATTGAATGTCTTTGAAGCTCAATTTTTGTTAGCTTCATGGTCATTTCCTTAGGATACATTCTTAGGAATGCAATAGTGGCTGTGTAAGTTTTAAGTACAATTGAGTGCTATTTTTTGCAAATTTACTCTCCAGTAAGGTTTAGTTTATCCTCCCACAAGTAATGATAAATGAAAGAAAATTATATTCTCCCCTCCCCCCCCAAATGCTAAATGAAGGCGACATTGTTTACTAAGGATGATATTTGGATAAAATTAGTAAAAGGTATTTCTGTATAAATATATTTACACTTTTAACAAGTGTTTTGAATTACTAAAATGTTTCGTTTTGTCAAAGGAAAAGTTTTGTTTTAGAAAGAATTTTTTAAGCCATATTTTTTCTTCTATTAAATGAACCTCGTTATCTGGGTTTGTTTTTTCCAGTGAAGCTTTGCCCTTTTTCCTACTTTTGATTGACCTATCCAGAGCAAGTGCACTAGCAAAGTTTGCCCTCAGTTCCAACTCACAGGTAAGTAAGTATTATTTATAAGACACAAATGTTAATAGTATTCTTTTTTTTTATTAGTTTGTTTACAGTAATTGGAAGGATTTTACATTAAATAGTGGATTGCTAATCACTTAACAGTGGAAGGGTTAATAGAGTTGAATAGAGTACAAGATTTAGGAATTATCTACAATTGTAAGTTTATCAAGTCTTAAGATTGGTCTTCTTAACTGCCCTAAGAATGGTCCCATTTATCAAACAACTCAATTATAATAACGTAGCTTCTAGAATTTGGAATCGTCCCCATTTTCCTTTTTGAAGGTTTCAGAAATTAAAGTTATATTTTGGACTTTTGGATAAGTAAGAGTACCTACCTAATAAAAACACAGAATAGGACTAAGGAAGACAGTCTCAGAGTAGATTTATTTCTAAACCTTAAAAAAAAAAAAAAAAAAAAAAAAAAAAATATATATATATATATATATATATATATATATATATATATATATATAATTGATTTTTTTACAGAGAGAAAGGGAGAGAAATAGATAGAAACATCAGCTGCCTTCTGTATACTCCCTACTGGGGATTTGCCCATAAAAGAGGTACATACCCTTAACTGGAATTGAACCTGGGACTCTTCAGTCCTCAGAATGACTCTCTATTCACTGAGCCAAACTGGTTAGGGCTTATTTCTAGTTTTGAAAAATAGCATTATTTCCTATCTGAAGTTTTCTCTTGGTGTTCATTAGTTACTTTAAAGAATCTGACATTTTAACATTCTTTTATTAGAGTATCTGAGTATAAAATAGCATGTACTAAAAAAAAAAAAAATCAAGCATTTCTGCCTTGATTTTGTAATTTGAGGAATAGTTATGATCATTTGAACAAGGATATGATTTAGGTTTTATAATGCTAAATTTTGCAACTAAGAACTTCTGTCAATGGTAGCCAAAATTTAAAATGTTATAAAATTTAATTATGTGAGATTTAAATGGCAGGATTAATGCACCGCTTCTCAGGAAACTACTAGAAATACCTTGTTCAGTGGAAAAGGAAAGCAGGGCACAATATATGTTTTTTGTTTGTTTCTAGTCCACTGTATTATTAGTGTATTTTGCATTTAGGATGCCTATTAGTTGTATCATATTGTATATTTTCAGTGGAAGACCTAGCATGCTCTCTAATATTTTTTTAAGTTATTTTGTGTCTTACCCTAATTGATATGTTTTTGGTCTTTGTTGTAGGATGAAGTAAGGGAAAATATTGCTCGTGGAATGGCAATTTTAGGCCCCACGTTCACCCTTGATGCTCTTGTAGAATGTCTTGTGATTGGAGTTGGTACCATGTCAGGTTTGTAAGCAATTTTTAATATAGTTTGAAATAAGTTTTTAATAAAGAAGGGAGAAAGAACATCTTAGATTGCATTGGGTTATTCTTAAATCCTAACTTTTAAAAGTCTGATATCACTCTTAAGAATTTTTGATTGTATGAATATGTGGGTATATTTGACCTTTGTTAGTTTTAAAAATATATCTTAATTGATTTTTTACAGAGAGGAAGGGAGAAAGATAGAGAGCTAGAAATGTCGACGAGAGAGAAACATCGACGAGCTGCCTCCTGCACACCACCCTACAAGGGATGTGCCCGCAACTAATGTACATGCCCTTGACCGGAATCGAACTTGGGACCTTTCAGTCCGCAGACCGATGCTCTACCATTGAGCCAAACCAGTTTCAGCAACCTTTGTTAGTTTTAATATAAACTTATCAGCAGGTTACTGATTTATTTTTCACTCTTGCCATCTATTTCAGTGCACCTTCCTTTCGATGACTTTGTCTATGGTGCTTTTGTTCTTTGTTTTGTTTGTACTGAAAGGCTTTTGTGAAAGCACCTTCCAGACCCTGCTGTAGCTTATACTAAACTATGTTTTATTGTCTTATAGAGATAGTACCAGAGTCAGGAGTTGTTGGCCCTGACCAGTGGCTCAGTTGGTTAGAGCATCTTCCTGATATGCCAAGGTGTTATGGGTTTGGTCTCCAGTCAGGCCACATACAAGAAGCAACCAAGGAATATATAAACAAGTGGAACAACAATTTGATGTTTCTTTCTCCCTTCGTTTCTTTCTAAAATCAATAAGTTAAAAATATTTTGTTAAGTCAGGAGTTGGATAGAGGTAAGTCAGTCTCCTAATAGGATGGTAAGAAGATTTAGACAGACAGTATGTAGTATATCTCATTTGGAGAGGGGAGAATTAGATGTTAAGTATCAAACAGGACTCCGTTATAAAGGACAAAAATTATGGTCTGGCTTGAAATTTTGCCAGAATATCAAGCTGTTGTGGAGTTTTTCTAAATCAATAAATAATTTTCTCATGTAGGCCACTTGTAGTTAACTCCTGTTATCATATATTTCCTAATAACTTAGTGCCCTTATTAAGGGGCTTCATTCTTTCTGAAATAAATTATCTAATTTGTTTTTTTGTTAATCCTTACCTGAGGATATTTTTTCCCATTGCTTTTCAGAGCGAAGTGGGAGGGAGGAGAAAGAGAGAGGGAGAGAGAGCATTGATGTAAGACAGACACATCCATCTGTTGCCTCAACCTGACCAGAGCTAGGGAGAAGCCCAGGTACCAGCCCTTGACCAGAAATTGACCCCCTGACCCTTTCGTGCATAGTCTGAGGCTCCAACCATCGAGCCACACCAGCCAGGGCAAATTAAGTTTTGAGAATAGTTGTTATTAGTTGAGCTCTCTTGGTAAAAAAAAAATATATATATGTATATATATATATATATTTTAAGTTTTTTATTTTAAGAAAAATTATTTTAAATATCATAATGTTACATGCAATAAACCTTGATATTTCAAGAAAAACAAACTTATACTAATATTTATTGCATGTAACATTATTTTTATCTCAAGAAAAACAATTTTAAATATGTTACATGCAGTAAACACCAATTATTAAAGAAACATGATCTAACATACAATATTACACGCAATAAACATTAATATTTCAGGAATAAAGGATTTTAAGTATAATATTACCAAAACTGTACTAACATAATATGATATCACAAAAGTTGTAGGAATTATTAAAGATCTGCAAATAACAGGATTCTATTAATCATTTGAAACTTATATGGAAAGCAGTGGAAACTGATGTGGAAAGTATAGTCATGAGTTTTGTTACAATAGGTCAGAGATGTGGACAAAAGAAGTAATTAGATTTATAGTTGGAGAAGCCAGTCAGGAGACATTTATAGTTCTACAAATCTATACTAATACAAAGGTAATATGCTATTTAGACCGGGAGACCTTCTGGACATCCTTCTGGACAAAGCCATGGTGGCGGGGCCAAGGCAGAGGTGGTTAGGGGTGATTAGGCCAGGAGGCGAGGGCAGTTGGGGGTGATCAGGCTGGCAGGGGGGCAGTTTGGGGCAAGCAGGCTGGCAGGAGGGGCAATTGGGGTGATCAGGTCGGTAGAGGGGGTGTTTAGGAGTGAGAAGGCTGGTAGGTATAGTGTTTAGGGGCAATCAGGCAGGCGAGTGGTTGAGAGCCAACAGTCCTGAATTGTAGAGAGATGTCTGACTGTCCATTTAGATTAGGCTTAAACAGGCAGTCAGACATCCCTTGAAGGGTCCCAGATTTGAGAGGTTGCAGACTGAGCTGTGGGACACACACACACACACACTCACACACACACACACACACACACACCCTGCATGAATTTCATGCACCAGGCCTTGTTTTCATATATTTGTCTAACTATGGGAAGAGTCCTTGTGATGTATTCAGCATCAGAAATGCACATACTTCATTAATTGTACATTTAACTTTTCTCTTTTCAGGGGTACGCCAACTTGAAATTATGTGCTGTTTTGGCTGCATGTCAGTTCTTGCCAACTACTTCGTGTTCATGACTTTCTTTCCAGCTTGCGTTTCCTTGGTTTTAGAGGTAATTGTAGTTCTTATGATATTAATATACGAGTAATACTTCTCATTATATCACTTCACCTAAATAAAATTAATACCTTCTAATGTAACACTGATTTACTTTGTAGCTTTCTCGGGAAAGCCGCGAGGGTCGTCCAATTTGGCAGCTCAGCCATTTTGCCCGAGTTTTAGAAGAAGAAGAAAATAAACCGAATCCTGTTACTCAGAGGGTTAAGATGATTATGGTAATTACATAACTTTCTTCTCCCTTTATTATCTTCAGCTTTTCAGTTTTATTTTTCTTCTTTTGTTATCCTATAATTTTTGGATTTCACTGATTTTCCTCTTCCCTTTTCTTGCTTCTCATTTCTTAGAGGCTCCTGGTCTTTCTTAGTGTCTCTCCCCTAAACAGATTTTTTCAAGTTCTCCACTTATCTCTCACTGAAAACCTGTTCTTTGGAATGTGTTCAGTAGTTCAGTGAGGCCAATACAGTCACGTAGCAAGCTTGGAGATTTTCGTTACTGTATGGGGAGGCCAAGGAAGATAGTATATCTTGTTATTCAGTTGCTAAGGATGAGAAGCTTAGGTTTTATTGATATGAAGAAGATACATAATTTTTAAAAAACTTTATTTCAGTCTCTAGGCTTGGTTCTTGTTCATGCTCACAGTCGCTGGATAGCTGATCCTTCTCCTCAAAACAGTACGGCAGAAAATTCTAAGGTTTCTTTAGGACTGGATGAAAATGTGTCCAAGAGAATTGAACCAAGTGTTTCCCTCTGGCAGTTTTATCTCTCCAAGTAAGTTACCTGGGACCTACTTTGTTGTATATTAATCATGGTACTCTGTGCTACTGTCAGTTTAGGTTATGCCTTTATATTCTTGAGTAATTTAATTTGCTTTCTTTTATTTAGAATGATCAGCATGGATATTGAACAAGTTATTACCCTAAGTTTAGCTCTCCTTCTGGCTGTCAAGTACATCTTCTTTGAACAAGCAGAGACAGAATCTACACTTTCATTGAAAAACCCCATCACATCTCCTGTAGTGACCCAAAAGAAAGTCGCAGATGATTGCTGTAGACGTGACCCTGCAGTGGTCAGAAATAACCAGAAATGCCATGCGGTGCAGGAGGAGACAAAGATAAACAAAGAAAGAAAAGGTAATTTCTTAGTCTCTTCATTTTCCACTCTTAAAATGCTGATTTGTCAAGAAGTTGAGTCAGTTTTAAAACTTAACGTTCGGTATTGTGAAATGTCTTTTGATCTCTTGAACAGTTGAGGTCATAAAACCCTTAGTGGCAGAAACTGACACCTCAAACAGAGCTACATTTGTGGTTGGTAATTCCTCCTTGCTCGATACTTCCCCGGAACTAAGGACACAGGAACCTGAAATCCAACTTCCTAAGGAGCCTCGGCCTAATGAAGAATGTCTACAGATACTTGGGAATGCAGAGGTGAGGAAAAGAAAATAAACTCAAAGCTTGGTATCTTCCTTAAGAAAAGGAGTTTTTATAGTGAAGGAAGTTATAGCAACTACCTACTAAGTTCTGGGCACTCGTTGCATGGTTTACAGGTATTGGTCTTATTTACGGCCCACAACCTGTGGGATTGGTGGAATTATCCCCATTTTTTAGATGAGCAGCTGAGGCCTTAGGCGGTTTAAGTATTCCCCAAAAGTAATTCATCTAGGAAATGTTAAAACTAGGTTCTTGGGTTCAAGATTTACTGGCCTAAGAGTCAGCTCAGCGGTCTTTCTATTTTATTACTGCTGATTATAGAGGTGAGCAACTATTGTACTCTCATTTGTGTGGTGAGACCCAGAAAAGGTTTAACATAGAAAATGAGCCTCAAAAATAGAAGAAAGCTTTTTGTTTTTAAAGTAAACTTGTTGCTCATGAGGAAGTTTATTTTCCTTTCTGAGATTTTAACATGGTTCCCACCCACATGACCATATGAGTCCACTCATGCTTTAGTGGGATAGTGTTCTAGCCATACTTGCTTCATCTGGTTCACTAATTTATGTACATGTGAGTGAGAATAGAGTTGTGCTTGTTTTCTTTACCACTTTCCCTCATTCCTATTAACATGCATACCAATATCTCAGCTGTCTTCTCCTGTATGTAGGGTTAACAAACCTATAGAGTGTCAGATTTTTTAAATTATGGATATTTGCCCTGTGGACCTTCCTTGCTAAATTTAGTGTTTTGGTTTTACATTTGTTTAATTGTCACATTTTTAAGAAGAATTTTCTTTCATTTTGATAATCTTATTTGTTCCACAATTATCATCTTTAGAATTCCAGTTCTTGAGGTTCTCCTTTTCTGTGTTAGTTCTATGAGAGTATTATTTGTATTAAATGGTTTATTTAGTATGAATAATATGAAGTGCAGTTCTTCAAAATCTTTTGTCATCACTATCCCTTAATTCTCTCCCGTTTTTATTTTTTCATTTCTTTAGAAAGGTGCAAAATTCCTTAGTGATGCTGAGATCATCCAGTTAATCAATGCTAAGCATATTCCAGCTTACAAATTGGAAACTCTGATGGAAAATCATGAACGAGGTGTATCTATTCGCCGACAGTTGCTTTCCAAAAAACTTCCAGAGCCTTCTTCTCTCCAGTATCTACCTTACAGGGACTATAATTACTCCTTGGTATGTTGATTTGAGAAGGTGTGCTTTGTAATTATTTAGTTTTATAACTTTGGTCTTTAGCTTTTTAGTATATATTTATATATTTATTTATATATATAAAATCTTTATTGATTTCAGAGAGGAGGGGAGAGGGAAAGAGAGATAGAAACATCAATGATGAGAGAGAATCATTGATTGGCTGCCTCTTGCAGCTCCCTACTGGGGATCAAGCCTACAACCCAGGCATGTGCCCTTGCCGGGAATTGAACCTAAAACCTATCATTCTGCAAACTGACACTCTTTCCACTGAACCAAACCAGTTAGGGCTAATTTTGTTTTTGACTGGTCTTTTATATGTTCATAGTTTTTATTATATATATATATATTTTTTTTTTTTTGTAATAGCAAAGGTGGAGGTTTATTGAAGAACAAGTACAGACTCCCACATGGGGAGAAGGAAAGAGTCCCACAGAACATACTCCCAAGTAGGAAGGGTCCCCCATATTTTATTTTTTAAGTAATTTTACTACAATTTTTTATTCTGCTTATGATATAGGTCATAGAAATTGAAAATATCCTTCCTGTTTTATAGTCATTATTCAAATATTTTAGTATCTTAAAGACTTTTTAAAAAGTAAATAAAATTTTGTTGAAAAATTCACTAAAGGGGTAAGTGAAGAAAGTTAATACAACAAGAGTGTTATATTTGCAATACTGATTTTCACTAGGTGTCTAACTTTACCTTTTAGGTGATGGGCGCTTGTTGTGAGAATGTTATTGGATATATGCCCATCCCCGTTGGGGTGGCGGGACCTCTGTGCTTGGATGGAAAAGAATTTCAGGTTCCAATGGCAACAACAGAAGGCTGTCTTGTGGCCAGCACTAATAGAGGCTGCAGAGCAATAGGCGTAAGTTGGCATTTATAAATTTGCCTGTTTTAGGGTACACTCTAGGCCTGGCGATGGGAAGAGATTGGGGAAAACCAGAGACACCTTTTGGGATAAGCAGAAGTGTTTTCAGAATTAATATGCGTTTCTGTAACTCCGCATAGCTTGGTGGGGGTGCCAGCAGCCGAATCCTTGCAGATGGGATGACTCGTGGCCCAGTGGTGCGTCTTCCTCGTGCTTCTGACTCTGCAGAAGTGAAAGCCTGGCTTGAGACACCTGAAGGGTTCACAGTGATAAAGGAAGCATTCGACAGCACCAGCAGGTGTGTGTGTGTGTGTGTGTGTGTGTGTGTGTGTGTGTAAGTGCATTTCTGTTTATTTCAGAACCAGTGCCATCTTCTTTGATCACTAAACATTATTATTAGCATATTGCCAGCTTAAAATGATCTAAAATCTCTACCTTAAATTAATTCAACATTAATAATATTAATGTTTGGTTTGGGTTAGAGGAGCAGAATGTTAATCCAAATGAATACCTCCCTAGAGGTAACTTAGAAAACTATAATGTGAGCTAGTGAGTTTGTGTGTTGATTTTGTAACACACACTTCGATCAGACCGTTACTTTGTCCTAGAAGAGCTTTGACCTAGCCTTGCTCTAGGGCAACATTGCCTGAGAAAATGATTTTGGAAGCAGGATAGAAGTAAATATTAGTATAGTAGATTTTCTTTGAATACAGAAAATTAGATTTATAATGAAGCATAAATGATACAAATGATAGCCTTGCTATAGTTCAAGCTTATATGCTTGTTTTTGTTTGGACTTTTAAAGTTTATGATGAAATGATTATCTATAGCCCTACCTTCTTGCAGCATATAAGAATGAGTTGATATAGTATTCTAACAAAATGTTTAAAGAAGAAAATGCAGTAATAAGTAATATCCATGGGGTTTATCTTACAAATAAAATGAACCAACAAAACTAGAGTTTAAGATAACTTGCATCTTCTTAAAAAAATACTTGCTGCTTTTGTTGACAGGTTTGCACGTCTACAGAAACTTCATATGAGTGTGGCTGGGCGTAACCTTTACATTCGTTTCCAGTCCAGGTCAGGTGATGCCATGGGGATGAACATGATTTCAAAGGTGAGCATGGGAAGACTCGTACAAAACTTGCAGGAGTGTCCCAGCAAAAGGGGACTCAGAGAGAAGTGGGATCAGCCTCGCTGTCTATTTTATGTCCTCCTATACTTTGAATATTATACTACGTACATGTGCTACTTACTCAAAGAGTTAGTTGATTGACTGATTTTTATTGAAAAGACTGATTCATGTAACTCATTATATAAATCAGACATTTATTGACTGGTGGTGTTTGTATTTGATACATTTAATTTAGATTTGGCATTATACACGTTCTGTGTCTATTCAGAGGGCGTGAGCAGTCTAGGAGTTAGCAATTTAAAACTTTGTTCTATAATCATTGAAAGTTGACCTCTTCTGGAGACTAAGTCTTGTGTTTAAGAGGCCAATCTCATGTATATAGTCCATTTATTTTAATTATCTCCTTATAAGAAGCTTGTGTATGACTTATATTTTATTCTACTGGTATTTGTTATTTACCAGACACAAATGTAAAATGTTAAAGTCGTTAAGCTAGTAAAATTTATTATTTGGTTTACCTATTTATAAGGACTATTTGGAAAGAGAACGGATAGTGACTAAATGTATACCCTTTAAAAATTGCCAATAAATAGTATACAGAAGTTCCTAAAACAATTAAAAATATAATTACTATGATCTAGCAATTCCACTTCTGGGTATATATTCAAAATAATTCAAAGGAAGGTCTCAAAGAGATAATTGTACACCCTGATGTATAACAGCATTATTCGCAATGGCCAAAGCGTCAGAGCAGCCCAAGTGCCCATTGATGGATGAATATATAAACTAAATGTGGTGTGTATATGCAATGCAATATTATTCACCCCTAAAAAAAAAAAAATTCTGACATGCTAAGTATGGATGAACTGTAAAGTTCCCTTGCTAATTGAAATAGTCTGGTTACAAAAAATAAGTACTGTATGCTTTCCATGTAGGAGGTAGATTGGTAAAATTCATAAAGATAGAAAGTGGAATGGTGATTGCCAAGGGCTGAGGAGAAAGAAGAATGGAAGTTATTTAATGGGTACAGAGTTTCAGTTTTGTAAGATAAAGAGCCTTCTGGAGATTGGTTGTACAACAATTGAATATTCTTAAAACTATTAAACTGTAAACTTGAAATTAGTTAAGGTAGTAAACTCTGTGTTATGCGTATTTTACCACAATTAAAAACCATTTTTTTAATTGCCCACAAGTATGTTTTAAGTTATTGAGGTGTGTGTTAACTGAATTAATTTCACTTAATTGGAAATCATGAGAAGTCTTACCTCTCCTTCCAGGGCTAGTAAATTGGGCTTTTAGATACTAATTTAATAACCATAAGAAAGACTTTATTAGACATTGATCATGGGTTGGGTAACTTCCGCCCCAGAGACATGGATATGAGTATTATATTCTCATTGAGTATTTCCTAATTATCAATCATTACCAATTGTTATAAAGAAGTTCGTTTTCATACCTAGAAAGAACCTAGGAATCTATACCTGATTGAGAAATTACTTTTGTGCTCAGTTTTTTTATAGTTATTGTATTAGAAATTAAGATTATTATAGTTACTGTACTTAGTATCAGATACAAATAAAGCCTCTGATCTATAAATCACTGTGCCCTTTAATGTAATTTTTTCTTTGTTTTGTTATTGTTAATAGGGTACAGAGAAAGCACTTGCGAAACTCCATGAGTATTTCCCTGAAATGCAGATCCTGGCAGTCAGTGGTAACTATTGTACTGACAAGAAGCCTGCTGCTATAAACTGGATAGAGGGGAGAGGAAAGTCTGTTGTTTGTGAAGCCGTCATTCCAGCCAAGGTTGTCAGAGAAGTGAGTGATTGGATAAAGTCTATTAGTTTAATCTTTAATTGGATTAAAAATTACAGAAAGGAATGGTAACATTCTAAGTTTAATATATGGGGCTATGTTTTACGTTAAAGATGACTCTTTTATATCTTGCTCATCTGTCCATGTCATTCACAGGAGCTGGTACTCCTTTTTTTGAGGAAAGGGCTTAAATGGGGCCATGTCTAACCTGATGGAGGGGAAAAAAATAAATAAATAAACGAGGAACTTTTGTAATAATATGAACAATAAAGGTTTATAAAAAAAAAAAAGGAAAAAAAATTGTTTTCTGGAGGTACAGATAGATAGATATGGGGAACATACTCCTGAATCTTCTGGGGGTAGATGTAAAATGTGCACGACTCTGTTTTGTAGGTGTTAAAGACTACTACGGAAGCTATGGTTGATGTCAATATTAATAAGAATCTGGTGGGTTCCGCCATGGCCGGGAGCATCGGAGGGTACAATGCCCATGCGGCAAACATTGTCACTGCCATCTACATCGCCTGTGGACAGGTGAGGGTTCTGGCCTCCACTTAACTGTTCTCTTTTGTTCTCAGTGAGAGAAGTTTACAATTTTCCTTTTCCTTTTTTTTTTTTCCCCTTCTTTTTCTCCAGGATGCAGCACAGAATGTTAGTAGTTCAAACTGTATTACTTTAATGGAAGCAAGTGGTCCCACAAATGAAGATTTGTATATCAGTTGTACCATGCCGTCTATAGAAATAGGAACTGTGGGTGGTGGGACCAATCTGCTCCCACAGCAAGCCTGTTTGCAGGTATGAAGCGACCTCAGTCTGGATTCTCTGTTTCTACCTGACACTGCATATGGCTCACCTCTATATTTTAGATGGTCTTTTTATTCTTTTGTTTCCCACCAGCCTAATCCAAGTACGTATATGTTCAGGCATATACTTAGTAAAGTGTGAAAGTAGATTAAAAAGCAAATAAATGTTTGTGTACTCCAAGTACACTGCCAGCCAGGCTGTGGATGTATGCTATGGTGTATGCATTGTAAATCTTGGAAGTTCAGTGGAGTCTAGTTCGATTCTGCTGCCATTATAGTTGTCCTTATTTAGTTGAGTAGGAAATTGTTGCCATGATTTGAAGGGTGAGTCCTGCTGTTTCTCTCTGACTGCAGATGCTAGGTGTTCAAGGAGCATGCAAAGACAATCCTGGGGAAAATGCCCGGCAGCTTGCCAGAATCGTGTGTGGTACAGTAATGGCTGGGGAATTATCACTGATGGCAGCATTGGCAGCAGGACATCTTGTCAAAAGTCACATGATTCACAACAGGTAAGACTTAAAGATTTGTTTAACATGCTTTTTCTGTACTCAAAATATTATTAGAAAAACCTAGTATTCAGCCCTGGCTAATGTGGCTCAGTTAGTTGGAGCAACGTCCGGTGTACCGAAGGGTCGTGGGTTCAATTCCCGATTAGGGCACATTCCCAAATTCGGGGTCAGGAGGTAACCAATCGACATTTCTTTCTCCCCTTCTCCCCTCTCTCTAAAATTAATAAACATATTATTGGATGAGGATTAAAAATAAAATAAAAACCTAGTCTTCAGCTACAATATTTCTTTTTTTATATATAGATATATTTTATTGATTTTTGTACAGAGAGAGAGAGAGAAACATCAATGAGAGTCATCGACCAGCTGCCTCTTGCACACCCCCTACTGGGGATATGCCCGCAACCAAAGTACATGCCCTTGACCGGAATCGAGCCCGAGACCTTTCAGTCAGTCCCCAAGCCGACGGTCTATCCATTGAGCCAAACCGGTTTCGGCTCAGCTAAAATATTTCTAACTTAAAATTCTGCACTCTTGCTATTTTGTATATGTCTTTCCCCCATAGGTCAAAGATAAATTTACATTTCTAACTTAAAATTCTGCATTCTTGATATTTTGTATATCTGTCTTTTTCCCCATAGGTCAAAGATAAATTTACAAGACCTCCAAGGAACTTGCACCAAGCAGGCCGCTTGAAATAGCCGGATGGTTCTGAACTGAAATACGGGTGTTGGGTTCTAATGGACTAACATAAAATCTGTGAATTAAAAAGCTCAATGCAGTGTCTTGTTAAGGATGAATAGATGTGATCGGTGAGACGGCTGCTTGGTGTTTGGCTGTTTCAGAAAGGTCTTGAGGTCTTTTCCATGCAGCTTCCTTAGCTCTGAAGACAGTTTAGTGCTTTGTGTGCTGTGTTCTTTGGAAAGATCTCTATATGGATATTATACTTTAAAGTGTCACAGATGGTAATCAGCAGCTCAGTTCTGAGTACACGCTGGAAAAAAGTGTTTTCTTTTGAAATTCATGGAGTTCATGGTGATCAGAGTGAGATTGGCCCTCCCCACTCAAACCCCCCACCACCAAGGGTTGAAAATGGGTTTTTAAATTATTCTGTAGCTGACAAAACTCCTGATTTCATAGTTAATTTATTAAGCCTGGGTTGTAGAACTTTAAGAAATAAGAGCTAAGTTTATTTTTTGTAAACTAATACTTCATTTGGTGCTGTTCTGATTTCTTTTGGGGTACCAACATGATTCTTCAGAAGATAATCTGCTTTAAGGGAAGAATTACTTTTATTCCCCAACTACAGAATAATGTGCTAAGCAGTGCTAAGTAGTTCTCAATCAAGAAAATAAATCACTGCATTTATCTCTGTAGCCTATTTGCTCAGAGAGATCTCTTATGGAAATGTAAATTTCTAGATTGGCTGTAACTTATCTTTGAACATAAGGCTTTAAGAAACAGAATTTTGTGCTCTTTGTTAAAGATCCCCTATTCTTAATTTTGATTAGACTAGTGATTTTCAATCTTTTTCATTTCATGGCACCCATAAACTTAATTGCTAAAGTTCCATGATACACCAAAAAATACTTATCTTGTGGATCTGACCCCAAAAAAGGTATAATTATGATTTGTTCATGAGATGTCTATTGTTGTATTGGCTATTGTCAATATTTTACTTGACAATCTAAGGGAAAAGAGTCAGTGCCCCTAAGTAGTCAGGTATTGCATGTTTTAAAAATTCTTGCAGGACATCTTAAAAATTGCTGCTTAAAATTGACTGTTTAACAAGAACACACAAACTCTTGTGACCCCCTCTCAGAACTCAGAGGGTAGAAAATAGATTTGAAAGAAAAAATACAATTTCATTCATCAACTTTAATTTCTTAAAGGACAAATTTATTTAGCTGAAAACCTAGTTTCTTGTAAAGAATTGTATAAAATCTACATATGTTGTAATAGAACCTCATGCTAGGAATTTATTGAAAGTGTTCAATTAATAAAAACTTGTAAACTGATAAAACACTCTAAGCGTAGGCCGGAGACAGTAGTATTCTTTCATGTTGCCAGGAAGCCCTGGCTTGCTTGTGGAGCCTAATGCATGGGGAAGTCAGGTTTCAGAGCCAGGGAAGGGAAGGTGCCGTGTGAATGGCCCTGGAAACTGCCATGTTCCTGTGGCCAGGAGGTTGGTAACTTCATCCAGGGCTCTTGGATGGACCCATAAAAGCTCTTAGCTTTCTCAGGGGTCAGCAGAGCTGTGGGATCTTAATTTTTTTTAATGTACAAGTTTTGTATACGTAATAAAGAGCTCTTTATTTTGTATTACACCTAATGCTTCAAGTGGTGGTCTTGGAGAACCAATGGCTCATGTAGAAGATGGACTCTGAGAAACATTCCAGCAATGCTGTGGCAGCACGGAGAGCCTCTGAATGATTGCCTCTGCAGTGTTGTTGTGAAAGTTGTCTGTAAACTTGAAACTGCTTCTGTTGCGACCTTTCAGCCAGTGACTTATCTTTTTCATAGATGTGGCAGTGAAAAATACGCTGAGTCTTCATTGGTGACTATAACCAATATTGTCTTGCTAAATTAATGTTTTGTACAATTACTACATTGTATACATTTTGTTATACTTTTTTCCAGTTCCAGTAAATTATGAAAAGGAAGTTAATACTGTGTAAGCAGTAACCTTTTTTGTTTGGATTAACCCTAAGCCTGAGGTCTGGAAGCTTGCAAAGTCTGGCCAGAGTGATAATGGCTAGGTATCATGCCCATTCATTGTTCTTCATTGTATTCTCCAACTCTGCAGCATTAATGGCAGGCTGGTGTTGCATGTACATTAAAATCATCTTCCTTATACTTAGAGAATTGGATTAGTTGAGATTTATCATTTCAACTCAACTACTTTTGGATATTGGGGTGTGAGGGTTAGTTAAGAGGAAGAGGGAATAAAGATTGTGCAGCCAAAACCAAATAGCCATTGCAGGTGTGCTTTTAAGCTTTTTCAGCTGAAATGGAGAGTACAGAGTCGGCCTCTTTAAAAACTGATTCCCATTTAGTTGCAATTGACTACACTTCTGCTGTAGTTAAGTGGTGAAAAGCTGTGTGTAATCCTCTAAGAACAAAAGCCCATACAATAGAAAATCCATTTGAATTTTTCTTTCTAGATGACATGTGATCACTTGCGGAGTCAGGCGCCCCCCCCACCCCTTTCCCTCCCAGATTGGAGCAAGTTAGATAGGCAACCGTGAAGGCTTTTCATCCCCTATTCTGTGAAGATGATTTCATGAGCAGTGAGGTGCATGTGGCAGGACAGGACTTTTCCTCCTCTCAAGATAGAGAAATCAAAAGGAAACATTCACATTATCCAAGGGTCTGAGCACAAATTAGGATGCAGACGTAAAACAGCAATACAAATCCACTGTGTATAGAAGGTGAAACTTGGCTATAGAAAACATTTTTCAAGACTAAAGCTTCCCTCACTATGCTGGCCAAGACTATTAATCAACTATCCACAGTTAGCAAAGATAACGGATAACCTGTATAGTGGAAACCAGGAGATGGCAAATGATGTTACAATTATGTTGCAACATTCCTGTTTGTTTTTTTTGCCCCACTGTACTGAAACATGCTTCCCACACTCCCTTTATTTTCCTTATCCTCCTGAACAAATTTAAGAGCTGCTGAGGGAGGTATGAGCACTCTTGCATTGGGGTAACAGCTGCAGTTACGAAGTAGAACACAAAAGAGTACATTAACTCAGTGCTGCTTCAACTTGAGTATGCAACACTCATTGGAAGACTTGTCAAAACAAATTGCTGAGTTATCCCCAGCGTTCTGATTCCCTGGGTTTGGGTGGGGTCAGGACTTTGACAGTTCTATTGATGCTGCTTCTGTGCTAACAGTTCTGGGGTTCAGTATGAGGTGCCTGGTATTACTGAGTGAACAGTATTAGAAAATCATGTTCATTCAGAAGCACACTGTCAGAAGATCAAGTGTTGGTTAATAAGATTTAATTAGAATCAATCCTAGAGAGATACAGTAGATACTAGAAAGTTTATTTGGATTTGGTGTTACCCTGCCCTGCACCTATGACTATCCCCCAATGCCCACCAAATATCATCAATGAATGGAATGACTGTTCCAGACAGACAATGCCCTGTGTTGATCATGGAATTCCTTGCTTTCTTGTCACTGGAAATTTGAAAAGGTAAACAGGACTTGGTGGGTGGGGAAGGGTAGGGAGTGGTCAAGGGAGCAATTCTGTCTTCACTCTAAAATCACCAGGGGTTGTATTTTGACACCATAAAGCAAATGCAGAGGCTTTAGTCCTAAAGGATGTGTTATGGATAAATCTACTCCAAGCTAACTACCAGCCTGAAGATCACACAGTAGCCTCTACCTCTGACCATTTCATTGTCTGGAGTTGGGCTGTAGCTTCAAAGGGCCAATGAAACCCAGTTTTGGTGCACTTCTTGCCTTAGTTTCTTCTAATATCAAGTATAACTTGCGAGAGCCCAACCTCATTCTTAAACATATTACTCTTCTTAATAGCAAAATACACTCAGATCTGTACAGAGTATCTATCCCACTCACCTCTGGCCATGACACCTTCAATAGACATGCTCTCCAACTGCACAATCCTTGGGAAGAATCAAAGCTTACACTTGGCTTGTGGGTGTAGCCTGGATAATTGCAAAGTTCTTGGGAAAGGGCCTACCTAGGCCAGAATCCAAATCTTAAAAATTACATATATATATGAATTAAAAAAAGAGGAAGAGTTAGAGAATCATTGATCATTGCCTCCTGCACACCTCTTACTGGGGATCAAGCCCACAATCCAGGGATGTGCCTTTGGCCGGAATTGACCCCAGGACCCTTCTTCAGTCCACAGGCCAACCCTCTATCCACTGAGCTAAACTGGTTAGGGCCAGAATCTAAATCTTGAACACCCCATCTGAAAACTTTCAGAAACACCTATAATAAGTGTATTTCTTGATAGATTATGTTGACATGTATATTATCCATCAAAACCAATATAAATATCTACACTAATAGAAGGTAAATATGCAAATTGACTGTACCTCCTTGATACTTATCAGCCAATCAGGAGCAAGTATGCCAATTAAACCAAGGATGGTGGGTTAATTTGCATATGTAGGCACTGAGCACTGGGATGCCTGCTATGAGGGGGAGGGTGGGGGGCGGAAGGAGCTACAGGAGCAGTGCTCTGTGAGTGAGGACCTGCAGGCTCTAGAGCGGCCTGGAGCAAAGCCAGGGGAAGGAAGGCCTATTCTTGCATCAAGTTCCACTGATTTTTCTCAGATGTGTAAATTAAAAATGTTCAAAAAAAGGCCTCAGGGACTACCATTGCTAGCAGAAGAAAAATCAAACTACTTCACATAGCCTGCAATTTTTCTCCCCCCAAAACTATTGTCTCTTCCTAGTTTTCTCAAGCCAAGGGACTTAGATGAAGTTCAAAGCTCAAAATGCTTGCAACCTTCTTGTCATTATTCCCGTTTTACCCATTTTCATGGATCTAGCACTCAATAAATGAGAAATTATTTACTTATGGCAAAATTCATGTAAATACATGTGGATTGACACTGTAGTTTCATTTTAGAAATTCCCAACTGTATATGCTTTCATTGTCTAGCAATTAAAAAAAAATTTGGGCTATGACACATAGTAAATTCATTTCAAGTTGTAACCCACTAGACACACATATGAAAAAATATTCACAAAATATTTACCTTTATTACATTCTATGTACTTGATTCTTCCATTCTGTTTTAAGGAAATAATTGGATCATAACTCATTAATAGTTTTCTTGATCCCTAGCTGGGTTATAACCTAGTATGAAGAACAATGAACTAGAACAGTGGTCAACAAACTCATTAGTCAACAGTACAACGATTGAAATTTCTTTTGAGAGCTGAAAACTTCTGCACATGGGCCATAAAGTTTCAATCGCACTGTATGTGCACAACTGCATGTGGTATTTTGTGGAAGAGCCACACTTAAGGGGGAAAAAAGCTGCATGTGGCTTGCGAGCTGCAGTTTGCCGACTACTGAACTAGAGTATTTCAAGCTCTTAATTATTCAGAAAATTATGAAGGACAGTATCTTGGGGTTAAGAAAAACAATCAAACAAGCACATTTGTCCATAATATTTTAATACTTTTCCACTTTTAAATACTGGTTTTAAATTTGTGATTGTAACATGGAAGATCCAACTTTATTACTTTTTTTTTTTTTTTTTAAAAACATCAGGATCATAAAGCTATTTTAGAATAGTTACACTCTATACACTCCCAAGGTACTTTAAAATGATATTTTGAGTTTGTAGATAAACAATGACGGTAATCCACATACATCGTCTGTATAACTTGGACTAAATACTGGAGAAAATGTTTAATTGGACGAACAACTGATAAGTTTAAAGATAACCAGCACAATTTCACGAGAACCAGCTCAGCCCTACTAAAAACTTCTCAATAGCAATCGACACTGATGTTGTATAGGTGTATAAATTAGTTGACGAAATTGAACAAATGGGAAACCTATTCCTCCCTTGCCTTATTTTGTATTCTTACAACTCTCCCTGCCATTCTCCTCTTTGGTCTGGCTCCCCTGTGGTGATCCCAAACCAAGAGCTGCTATGATCACCCTCCACCTCAAAACCATGAGTCTTGAATACTAACTGAAACACTGTGCTCTCTCTCTCGAACTGTAGAGTGGGCACTCAGGGAACAAAACCCCTTATCACCAATATTTTTAAAGTTTCTATCATAGTACAAAAAGAGTAACTGAGTAGAAAAGAGAGTAAAAAGATAATTTTTTTTTTTTTTTTTTTTTTTTTTTTTGTCTTGGGGAAGAGAAGTAGAAAATAAGTATGGATGAGAAAACATCATGTATATTCAGAGTATGTAGGAATTAGCCATACGGAATTCTAGAGGGTCTGAATATTGTCTAAAGGACTAGTACCTACCCAAATTATAACCTGTTTTAAATTCTTTTCACACTCTCCTACTCATTTCTAAATCTGGTTGGACAGGATTAACTCTAGTAAAGTACCAGTGCAGTTATCTAAAGGTAAAATGTATCTTTTTCTTTTCCTTTTTAATACAAATATTTTAGAGTAATCATTTTATTTACAGAATTGCAAAAGTATATCATTAACATTTAGTGCAAATGCAACTAATGATAGTTAGATTTAGATACTGCTTTGTAAACTTTCCATACCTTTGTAAAACAAAGCTATTTAATTTAGTTACGAAAGTTACTTGTCTGTGTTCATGATAGTTACCAGAAAAATGGCAAACAGAGAAACATTTATAGTGGGCATACAGAACTGTTTTTGAAGTTTCCATCACCATCTATGAATATACCTTCCCTCCCAACCCTCCCATACTCCCACACCCTGACCCACAGCTGATTGTAAAATAAAATACACATTTGAGGTATAAATTTTTCTTTTTTAAACATCACAATATAAAATGTTAACTGGTGATGTAGTAAACTGATATAATTTGTCTTATTTGCCTTACTAGCATTACCACCATAGGCACTTTTCCACATAGTCAAATTATGAACAGCATTTTTCTATAATAAGGCATATTCCATGCACATCATTTAGAGAAAAGTAAATTAAAAAATAGAAAAATTTATGGAGCATGAAATCTGCGTGCATGTAAGCTATGTTTTATATGTATTTCCTCTCTATACAGAATAATAAATACCACTATATTTGATGCAAGTAATTCACCTCCAGGATTGTGCATATGAAGTGACCAGACTAATCCCATCATTAAATTATCACCTTGCATTTATCATTAAGACGCCAATACCACGTATGAAATATATACAGGACATGTTCCACGTGACATGACTTTCTGCTTTACAAAATGGGTCGGATTTCTGTGTTTCCACAGAGATGAGTTTAAGTCAGCAAAGCATCTACAAAATGCCTCTGCTTTATGCAAGCACATTTGTGTATAAACATAATGAAGATTTTGAAGTGGGCAGTCATTTCTAATACTTCGACGAGTATAATTCCTTGCCTCAACTCCATGCTTCATGGTTTTTCACAGAGGCCTAAAACTAATAAAACTAAAAAAGGATTTTACATTTAAGTTCTTATAGCTTCTAAGGAAAGAATTTCAGTCTGAATCACATGGAATACCTTAAAGCTCTGCTGAAGTTTCTGATCAAAAGGCAAACAGAAGCACTGCTCACATTTCTATGCATATCTTGCAATATATCTTTTAAACTAACCCAAATTAGAAAAACGAAAAACATACCTGTTACTGAGTCCTAAAATGTCAAATGTCAAACTCAGTCTGACTTGCTTTCACAATAATTGCATATCTTCTTACAAATGTGAGTTCATTTTATCCTGACCATTTTTTCAGAAAGCAGTTTATACACAAGATTAATACTACAGATGTTTCTATTTGAAGGCAGGCAGAACCAATTTAGAAATTGCCAAATTCTGTTTCTAACAAACGGGCGGTAAAAAAAAAAAAAAAAAAAAAAAAAAAAAAAAAAGCAGCAAGCTGTAGCATACAAAACACAATTAAAAATACAGGAAATATAAGGATAACTGGGGATGGGAGGAGGAATAAAGCTTTTCATTCTTTCTCCATCAGAACCAAGGTTCTTCATTGGAGTAAGAATATAGAAAAGGCAAAATCACAGTTATTAACAGCCCTCAGTTATTAAGAGACACTTTACATGACTATATGAATCATTACAGAAATCAGCAGCAATGAATTCTATGATTATACAAAGCAAAACAAAACAAAAAAAGGTTGAAAAATTCTAGACACAGACTGAACTGCAACCTGAAAAAGAATCCCGTCCAGGTATTTGGTGCACAGAAAGCGCATGCCCCATGAGCATTCAACTTTCATGCACAAAACCTGATACCACCAAGGATCTTAGGCTAGACCGTATACTCAATTAAAAATTCTGAAAAAGTTTCCAAAAATTAAAGCATCAATTCCTAGTTGTGATTCAAAGTTGATTTTTCTCTCTTTTAGGAGCAAGCAAATAAAAATATAGCCACATGTAATTTTACATGTATTTATAATTATATGCTGAGCATAGAGGTCTAGCAGGAAACAGCTAGGGTTAGATGTTCAGCTTTGCTATTGCAACATTTCTTCATTTTTGTACACAAGATCAAGGTGTTGGGCCATAGACAAGGCTGTAGATCCTACGTTCCAGCTTAGAGCATTCAATTTGTGTGAGTGTGTGGTTTTTTTTAAAGTTTTCCCTCCAACATGGAATGTCACACAGCCTTGTTTCAATCACTGTAGGGAAGAAAATGACAAGTTAAAAATTCAGCAATATATTGCTAATATCTGCAAGACTATCAGAATAGATTTCCCCTACTCCCTGAATTCATGGAATGCATAGATTATCTCTTAAAATTGAACTTTAAAGGATTTTCAACTTTAAGAACATAAAATTGTTCACCAGAAGGAATAGAATACCTTCTGTATAAGGAATCTTTGAAAGCTTGGAAATGTAAAAGGGTAATATACTATAAGTAAACAAGGAGGAAATCAACCAAAGGTCTCTGGATTTGTACCCCACAAACTTGGCATTTTCTTTTTCATCTTCAATAAAAATTATGCTATAAAATTTTTCAAGAATTCTTAAAATTTACTTAAGCTATGAAAAGACTTAAACAAACAGGCTCAGACCTCATCAAATGAGTTTAAGAAATTTGACTGAGTTTTGAGTATCTTTTGACCTCATTAACTTTATGAAATTTATCTAAAATTACTTTTTCTTCATCACCAAAATTAAGCATGTTAGTTTTCTTAAGGTTTCACTCCTAAAATCCACTTCATAGATATATCTTCATTATTATGAAACAAACATTACTTTAGGTGAACAAAGATTTTACCACATGTTAGGATTAGAATTTGGGTTCTTTGTCAGAAAGAAGCTCAATCTGGATTCAAGGCCAGTGAGTCTTTGTATATGTCTCATATCTTTCTATGGAATAGCAAAACAAGCTGCAAAATAATATAAGCACATTTTTTTAAACAATTAAAAATACATATATGTGAGTACATACATGTAAAAATCTGGAAGAATATATCATAAACCTAACAGTAATTTCTGCGAAGGGAAAGATATAGGGAATTTGTACTTTTGAAATTCTGCAGTTCTATAATGTTGAAATTCTGTTAAATAAGCAGGTATTATTTAACATAAAACAAAAGATAAAAATGTAAGTTTTAAGGCTATAAAAACAACAACTCTTTATCTGGGAACATCATAAAACACAGAAACTACTTTCAACAGTTAACTAAAATTTAGTATCTGCAGCAGGGGTGGGGAATGTCTAGCCTGTGGGCTGTATAAGGCCTACAAAACCATTTGGTCTGGCCCTGCCAAGGCTTTAGGGATGAGTAAATTAAATGTTTGACCAAATATAGCGGGCTAATTTTAGGTTGGTAATTTTGTATGGCCCATGAATGATATAAATATCCAAATGGCCCTTGGCAGAGAAAGGGTTCCCCATCCCTGGTCTAGAGTCATGTTAGTCAAAGTTTAAAAGGATAACATCTATCTTCAGTACCTGTTAATACTAGAACAAAATAGGTTTTCCTGCTGTTTTCTCTTGTACGTAAGAAGTAAATCGTTTTAGAAACTTTGGATACTCTCGTTTTGCCACTGCCCTTAACACTGAGGCTGGTGCCCATCCTCCAGGGTTCACTATGAGTTAAAGAAAAATTAAAATGTTAAGATACAATTCTCCAAATACACACAAAGCACTCATTTTGTTCATTTGCTTTAAAAAATTTCATGATGTTGGAACAATTGGCATCTCTTAAAATCTTGACCATTAATCTTTCAAATTAACCACCAAACAAGAACAAACAGCAAATAAGCATTTATTACCTTTCTAAATTGTTCTTACTTTCCTAAAATATATTTAAGTATTAGCATAGCTATACTTTAGGTTACTTGAGGCAGATTTTTTCATTAAGCTCTACTATAATCAAACTAGAAGCCCAGTGCATGAAATTCATGAATGAGTAGGGTCCTTAGTGGCTGCTGGATGCTAGCCGGGGCCTTCCTCCTTCTGTGCCACCCACTGACATTCTGGTCAACGCACATCATAGAGGGCAATGGAACTCCCGGTCCGTCGAACTCCTGAGGGAATACTTTGCACCCAGTGCATGAAATCTATGCACATTAAAAGGGGGTTAATTAGAGGAAATAATTTAATATTGCTATTTGTCCTTTCTCTATAATAGGAGTCTGAGAGATGAAAGAAATTATTAAAATGTATATGAAAACCTTCTTTCTGTCAGTGTCTGGGTGCACCATGGGACCCAGAGTCAAATCCCTGCCCACCCACATGCACCTCAAAATCGTGAGACCCCAACCTGGCTGGCCCCTGTTAGATCCTGACCCAGCCAGTCCCACCTTGTCAAGCCCTGCCAGGCAGGGAGTGTAGCCTCAGGTCCCCTGGCCCAGTGCCAGGACAGAGGGCATGGCCTGAGGTCCCCCAGCCCAGACCAGAGAGGTGGGTGTGCCTTGAGGTCCACCATCAAGCCCTGCCAGGTGGGGGACATGGACTGAGATCCCCTGTCAAGCCCACTGGGGGGCATGGCCTGAGGTCCCCCATCAAACCCTGCCAAGCAGGGGGATGCAGCCTCAGATCCCCTAGCCCAGTACTGGGAGGGGGGCGCAGCCTCAGGGCCCTGTCAAGCCCTGCTGGGTGGGGGGCATGGCCTGAGGTCCCATGTCAAACCCAGCAAGGCACGGGGGAGGGGGGGGGCCGCCACTTCAGATCCACTGGGCCGGTGCTGGGGATAGGGGAGCAGCCTGAGGTCCCGTAGCCCAGCACCAGGACAGAAAGCGCACCTTGAGGTGGGGGTTGCAGCCTAAAGTCCCCTGTCAAACCCTGCCAGGGGTGGGGTGTGTGTGTGTGTTGCCTGAGGTCCCCTGTCAAGCCCCATGGCAGCGGGGGAGAGCATAGCCTCAGGTCCTTGCTGATTGCTCGTTAAGGCTTCTTATGGAAACTGGGCCTCAGCTGTGGGTTCAGTCATCTTTGTGATGGAGTGATGGTCCATAAGCATATTCCCTCTTTATTAGATAGGATAAGCTAGAGGCCTGGTACATGAAAATTTTGTGCACTCGGGGAGAGGGGTCCCTCAGCCCAGCCTGGCCCAGAGGCTCCCACCACCACTGCACTTGCCAGCCATGAGCCCGTTTCCTGGCTGAGCAGCGCTCCCCCTATGGGAGCATATTGACCACCAGGGGGCAGTTCCTGCACTGAGTGTCTGGCCCCTGGTGGTCAGTGCGCATCATAGCAACCACTCATACTGCCATTCAGTCGATTTGCATATTATCCTTTTATTATCTACCCATTGCATGAAGATTTGTGCAAGAATAGGTCTTCCCCTGGCTTCGCTACCGGTCACCTGAAAGCCTGCAGTCTTTGCTCCTAGCTGGAGCGCCGCTCCTATAGCTCCCTCCGTCCTTTGCCCCACCACCCTCATAGCAGGCGTCCCGTCCTGCTGTTCTGTGCCAACATATGCAAATTAACCCATTAGCTGTTTTGTGTTAATCTGCATACTCACTCCTGATTGGTTGATGGGCATAGTGGAGGTATGGTCAATTTGCATATTTTTCTTTCAGGATGGCAGGCAAAGGCAGTTAAGGGTGATCAGGCAGGCAAGCAGGTGAGCAATTAGGAGACAGCAGTGTCCGATTATGAGAGGGATGTCTGACTGCCGGTTTAGGCCCAATCCTCAGGACTGGGCATAAACTGTAGTCAGACATCCCATGAGGGGTCTCAGTTTGGAGAGGGTACAGGCTGGGCTGAGGGGAACCCTTCTCCTCTGTGCATGAATTTCGTGCACTGGGTCTCTAGTCCTATATAATAAAAGCCTAACATGCTAAGTGTCCAGTCCTATGGTCTTCAGTTCAATCAAAGTGTAATATGCTAGTGATATGCTAAGATCGCTCAACCGTTCACTATGATGTACACTGACCACCAGGGGGCAGACAGTTGACTGGTTGACCAGTTTCTATGACATGCACTGACCACCAGAGGGCAGATGCTCCAACTGGTAGGTTAGCTTATGCTGGGGTCTGGCTGATCAGGACTGAGTAAGACAGGCTGAATACCTGGAGACCTCCCACAGTCCCTCCACAGCTGGTCAATCTCCTGGATCCCTTCCCTTAGATCATGCACCAGTGGGGTCCCTTAGCCTGCCTGCGCCCTCTCGCAATTTGGGCTGATGGTACCCTCCCAAGTGCATGATTTTTGTGCACCAGGCCTCTAGTATAACTTACTCAGACATAACTATCTCTTTAAACACACTAGAAGTTATAGTACTATATAAAGAAGGCATGAGGATTTGGATTTCAATAACTCCTACAAGTAGGAAATGGGTGTAGTAAGGAACCAAAGCAACGGGGCTGTCCAGCAGCAGATCAATACAAAACAAATATGTAACTAGCAACTAATAAGAATTAGGGACCAATCAATGATGCAAAAAATGAATAAGCCTGCTAATTTCCTTTCTCACTGTTGCTTACATTTCTAATTCTATGAATATTCTTTTAGGTAAATACTTAATAAAATGGTTCTTAAAACCAAGGATATGTGATAGTGATCTTGATAGAAAGTTTTAAAAAATAAGTATTTTTATTGATTTCAGTGAGGGAGAGGGAGATATAGAAACATCAGCTCCCTCCTACATGCCCCCACTGGAGATTGAGCCCATAACCCAGGCATGTGCCTTGACCAGGAATGGAACCATGACCTCCTTGTTCATAGGTTATCTAGTCCCAGCTTCAAAAATTCTGATATAGTAGTTCTGGAGTAGAAGGCAGGTATGTGTATTTCCTGAAAATTTTATATACATCTTTCCAAATTAAAAATTAATAATCTAAAGGACAAAAACTCAAAAGGTATTTGTAATGGTATTTATCCAAATGGCTAGTTATCATATAGATCACACTAAGAATATCCACATTACCAAGTAGCAAAAACAAACAACGAAATACATACCATTAGCTACATATGTAATCTTGCATAAAATGTTGTCCCTGCTAATCTTCTGGTTTCCTTCTGGTGGGCTAACCAAGGTTTGACAAATCATAGCAATATTTATTTTGGCACGAACACATCGATTGTTCAGCTGCCAAAACAAAAAATAAAAACAAAACAGCAGTATAGCAGATACTCAGTATTTTGTAATCTCTACTAGTCTAATAATACTATACTAAGCAGGCTGAAACCTCAAAACATCAAAATATTCAACAAAATATTATAAGGATCAAATAACACTTGTCAAACTGGTAAGATATCAGAAATGATTTATAATCCTTTTACATAGTAAATGGAGCTAATTAGAGATAGCAACCAAAGGTTTGCCAGTAGTTGATAATGGCTTGAGAGGTAACTGTGAGAAGCAGTCTGTGTATACTACCCATCAGTGCTGTCTCACCTCTTCTCAGGAACAAAGGAAAAGAGACCTGCCATGACTACTGTCCTTCAGATAACACACAGACTATATTATTCTAAGAAGCCAAAATAACACAAAATGTAAGTATTATCAACTCTAGTATCTGTTTGTATCTGGCATGTGTTTATCATTTTTGCATGGCAAGTATAGTTAGCTGTATATTGTACAACTGTACACATTTATACAATGTACTTACAGGAGCACTGTCATGATCCACAGAAAAATTACAAACTATCCAAGTTTCAGGGTCATTTTCAGTAAAGGCTGGTATCTTTCGAATGGCAGAAAGATATAATACATCTCGCTGAGAAGCAGGCCACACTCTCTGAGGAAAAAGTAAAAATAATTTGAAAATCTGAACAATTCTTTATTCATTTATAATATGGAACTAACAGAGAAACAAATGTAAAATCAATAAATATCTTAGTTGAAGGTAAAATCTGTCAAATTTTAAATGAAAAGCATCTGAGACTACTCACTGAAGTACTAATTATGGACAGTGAGTTCATGGCTTTGCAGAACTATATCAAAGGAACAGCATTCTGCTATTTTAATTTTTAAAAAAATTGTAGTAATTTTCTCTTTAAACCAGTTTTAAGTGTACAGTTCAGTGCCATTAACACACTCAGAATGTTATGTAAGCAATACCATTATTTATTTTCAAAAAATTGTTATCATCCCAAATAGAAACTCCGTACCTATTAAGCAATGACACACCATTACCCGCTTGTACAAACTCTGGTAATATCCTGATTTTAACTATAGTATTAAACCTCAGCTTAAATTGTTCAGAGACTTTAAGCAAATATTTTAGGGAAATAAGACTACTCTTTTGATATCATAATCATACTTGAAGAATTCCAAATTAGTTACACAGAATCTTTGAATTTTATGGTATCCATGAAAAAATATATATTGTTGGAATGACATGGTACCTATGTCTCAGAAAAGGTGCTATTGTACTTTTAAATGAGAGAAAATATGCTTTGTCTTTTCTGATTGTTGAGTATACCAAGTAGCCAACAACTCAGTGTCAACACAACACAAATCATTTGCAATTATATTTTAAAGACACAAAATTTCATGTAGTCAACAAAAATAGTGTTAGAAAAATATGTATGAAGCTGGTAATAAATGAAAATTTTTATTTTTATTTTCAAGCTGTTTATATCTTTGAATCCAATGTGTCTCCTGTAGAAAGCAGATGACAGATTATATATATATTTATATATAAATATATATATAGATATATATATTTTTAATATATTTTATTGATTTTTTACAGAGAGGAAGGGAGAGGGATAGAGAGCTAGAAACATCGATGGGAGAGAAACATTGATCAGCTGCCTCCTGCACACCCCTTACTGGGGATGTGTCCGCAACCAGTGTACATGCCCTTGACTGGAATTGAACCTGGGACCTTTCAGTCCGCAGACCGACGCTCTCTCCAATGAGCCAAACCGGTTTCAGCTGAAAATTTAATCATGTTAGAACTAATAAATCCAAATCCAAAAGGATGATGATAAGAAATTTAAAGAATGAGATGACTTAAATATCAGATGAGTAGCCTTCTTTAAGACCATTTTATAAAAGAAGCCAAATCTAAAGAAAGAAAATGTATATAGCGTTATTGGATTTTATTGAAAATAAATATGCCAGGATAATTTTATTCAAATAATATAATTGTGACTTAAATTTTGTTACATATGATACATTATTTTAATAATTTTATTTTTCAAGAAATAAACCTAATACAACCTATATAATCCTCCCTTCTATCTAATATTTACCAAGTAAAATAATGGCAGCAGATTGTTTTCCTGGATCAATTATCATCAAATAATAAGATTCTTCTGAATCTAAATTATTGGCCATTTATTTTTTTTCTAAATTATAGGGCAATTAATTGATATTTTAACATCTACTAAATTTTAGATTACACTTAAACACCTCACAAATCTATATGCTGAAATAGAATCATTTTTAACATTTCTTGAGCAGCTATCATGTAAAATGAAGCCTAGCTTATAGTCATCCTATATAATAAAAGTCAAATATGCTAAATGTTCGGTTGACCGTTCAAACAATCAAAGCATAACATGCTAATGATATGCTAGGGCCGCTCAACCGCTTGCTATGATGTGCACTGGCCAACAGGGGGTAGATGATCTGACCAGTAGGTTAGCTTGCTGCTGGGGTCTGGCCGATAGGGACTGAGGAAGATAGGCAGGACATGCCCTGGAAGCCCTCCTGTGGTCTCTCCCTGGCTGGCCAACCTCCATGTCCCTTGCCGGCCCCGATAGTTCACCAGTGGGGTTCCTCAGCTTGGCCTGAGTCCTCTTGCAATCTGGGACCTCATTGGGGGATGTTGGGAAGCCGATTTTGGCCCAATCCCACAGGCCAGGCTGAGAGACCCCACTGGTGCATGAATTCATGTACTGGGCCTCTAGCCTATATAATAAAAGCCTGAGCAACTGTTACAGTGGAGTGACCAGTTGCTATGATGCGTACTGAACATCAGAGGGCAGATGTTCAACATAGGAGCTGCTCTGTGGTGGTCAATGTGCCCCAAAGGGGTAGTGCCACTCAGCCAGAAGCTGGCTCAAAGCTGGTGAGCGCAGCTACCATGACTGAAACCTCTCCCGGCTTTGCAGCAGTAGGCACAGCAGGCTGGGATGAGCACAAGTGGTGCCTGGCCCTGATTTGGGCTCCTCCCGGGCTGCCTGCCCCTTGACACACTGCTACATCCCCTGGCGAGTCCTGGACTGCGAGAGGGCACAGGTAGGGCTTAAGGACCTTGCCCCCAGAGTAAGAATTTCATGCACTGGGCCTCTAGTTAGATATAAAATGCCTCAGGTGACAACTCTGAGTTTAAGAAATACAGAGCAAATCTAAAATATTTTCACATATTCAGCTCAATTAAAAAGTCACTTGAACCTAGCTGGTTTAGTTCAGGGGATAGAGAGTCAGCCTGTGGACTGAATGATCAATCCCAGTATTGATTCTGGTCAAGGGCACATGCCTGGTTTGTGGGCTTGATCTCCAGAAGAGGATGTGCAGGAGGCAGCCAATCAATAATTCTCATCATTGATGTTTCTATAATATCTCTCTTTCCCTTTCCATTCCTCTCTGAAATCAATAAAGATATATTAAGATCATTTTCATATCTATTAGTCTTAACACAAGAAAATAACATACTTTTCCACTTCCCTTAGTATATTGATGTCACAGGAAACTATGATTCAATTTCACATTCAGTGATTGTCAATCTTCTATAGACTAGCTGTTAGAAAAATATTTGCATCCCTGAATTATTAATAAAGTCTTTGGATCTTTTCTGGTATTTAATTTCCTGCCAATGCTTAAAAAAATATCTTTTATTGGTTTTTTAAAGAGAGGAGGGAGAGGGATAGAGAGTTAGAAACATCGATCAGCTGCCTCCTCTGCACACTTCCCACTGGGGGATGTGTTCACAACCAATGCACATGCCCTTGACCTGAGACTCTTCAGTCCAAAGTCCGACGCTCTATCCACTGAGCCAGACCGGTTAGGGCCTGCCAAATTTTATTTTTAACAATTTCTGTGTTTCAGCTTGAATTATAGTGAAGAGCTTTAGGGGTGAAGAGACATTTACCTTGTGCGTTTGATAAATGATGATTGCATTATCAGCTAATGTTTCCACCACATGAAAGTTTTCTATAGTTGCTGAAACGAAGGGAAAATATTAGTAGCCAAAAAGACATATTACTTTTTCCTAGAAGGTGATTAATCCATTTATACTGAGAATCAATTACAAATGAACATTATAGTAGAATGAACAGGATTCTGCCCCACTTGGACTAAGTTCAAATGGAAGGTAGTTAATGCCTAGTATCAGGGCTATAGATGGTGGCTGCGGGAGCTGATTACCAGAAAATCTCATTTTCCTTTATTCAACATTCAGCCTTCACAGCAAGAAAGTGATTCCATATCAACACTGCATTACTCAGGCACAAATTATTCCCTTACACTATAACACCCCCCCCCCCCCCCCATCTGCCTATAATCCCTAATTTACTGAAGCTGAATAAACTGCTCTATCTAGGTTTAGGTGACTATATTTACTAGGAGGATTGTCAAACTGTCATTGATACACATCTTTTGATGGTCAAAAGTATATGCAATCTGGTGCCTAAGCCAAGGGAAACATCCCCTGCCAAAGTAACTAAACAAACCACAGCAGGATTCATGTAGGATTTACCAGGAAAACAAAACAATCTAAAAGAAAAGCAGGTAAAATAGAAACAGTTTTAGTCCTGGCTTTTACACCTGCTAGATCTGTGGCCTCTGACAAGTCATTTGACATATCTGAATTTTACTTTATTATCTATCTTTGCAAAATTGTTGTGGTATTAAATCAAATGCTATAAAATATTGCAAGCATTAGAAAACATGAAAAACTTTATTTAAATATTAAGTATTTTCAGTCCCCTATATTTTCTACATTGACTTTGCAAACTATAGATCATATGGAGAAAATCAGATTTGATATTAAATTCTAAATAATTATATTAAAATACATTAATAATAGCATCTTACTTTCCCAATCATTGCGAACATCAACATTCCAGAAGTAATTGCAGACCTCATGTCCTGTAACTCCTTTAACTGCATGGGTAGCTTTCAAAGGATCCAGAACAATCCCATTTTCTTCTACTTCCCTCCTATATACCTATATAGGACATAATATTCTAAAGTAAACATTTGAAAGCATGTTTGCAATTTTAACAGCTTTTTAGGATTTTATTTATGAAAATCTCTTTATGGAACATAAACATTCTGTTAAATTAAGTTTAAAATTTTAAATTATTAACACATTAAAAATATTTAAAACTACAAATCCAAGGTAAATTTCAACAATGAAAAAATATGAATATATCATTAATGACTAATCACTGTGAGTTGTTAAAAAAATAAATATATCAATTTAAGTCAGGTATTATTTACTGAACATTCTGAAGGACTGTTCACAACATGGCAAAAACGACAAGCCTCGTTAAAACACAATCTCCTTAAGGGATACTGATTTGAGTCAGCTGTGCTCACTGATGTATTCCCCAGCATCTAGCATAGTATCTGAAACCCAGTAAAGCAACTATTTGTTGAATAAATGATTGGATACTAAAATGTAATAAAGATCTATGTTCTCTTGCTTTAATACTGAGGTTGTATACTAAAGTGCTGATTAAAACTAGTTATTTCAAAATTATTGTGGGCTTGCTACTTTAGAGAACCCTGTAGTAAGTTCTTTTTTAAAAAAAAATCCTCATCTGAGGACATGCTGAGAGAGAGAAAGGGAAGAGAGAGATGAGAGAGAGAAAGAAAAAGAGAAGAGAAAACAAGAGAAGAGAAAAGAGAAGAGAAACATGGATTGGTTGCCTCCCAAATGCGCCCCCCGACTGGGAATCAAACTCAAAACCTTTTGGTGAATGGGATAATGCTCCAAGCAACTGAGCCACCTGGCCAGGGCCTGTAATAAGTTCTTTTGACAAATGATTAAACATGTTACCAAAGGAAGAATCAGCTCTCAATTTATGGAGTGCCCATGGAGCCAGATACTACTAGGTATTTCACATAAAGTTTCTCTTTTACAATCTCTCTCCCCAAACTCCATTCCCTACATGCTTATTTATTTGCTAGTGGGTCTGCTATTTTCCAAGTCATCTGAAATGGAACTCTGTAGACTTTTGGTTCCTTCTCTCACATTTCACGTGGGCTATTAAGATTATTACAAATCTTCTATAAAAAACAACTTGACTTTTCTACTTTGATTACTCTTTTAGGTAGACTTTCAATATCTTATACCTGACTTTCTCAAGTGGTTTTCTCGGCCTTTTGCTGCTTCTCTTTCAGCTTACTCTTCTGAAAATGCTACTTTGCATAGTGGCTTACCTGTTGCTACAAAGGGTAGGCTATTTGCTTTAGTGGGTTATTTTATAATCCAGCCCTAATTTCTCTTTCTAATGTTGTTGGTTGTAGGAGCCCTTATTTTCTACTTAGTCTCTTTGCTTCCTGGAATTTCCCGAAGGGAGAAACACTTATCTGAACAATGAGTACAGAGGGAGAACTAGGCAGATGTGGCTCAACCCCTTCTGCAGAAAATATGCATCCTGGTCTGCTTTTAGGGCTCTTGTGGGAAAGGCCTCTGATTATTCAGGTATATTAGAAACATGTTTAGAGGTAACATATTAGCAAGACATTGTGACAGCTGGTCTCCATGTTGTAATTCAATCAAATCATCAGAATTACAGAATTTTGGTATCTCATTTGCCTGTCTCTTCTAACTTATTTCTTACTAGAGGTCTGGTGTATGAAATTTGTGCACAGAAGGGAAAAGGGGGGGCAGCATGGGTGTATGTGTGTCCTCAGCCCAGCCTGCACTGTCTCCAGTCTAGGACCCCTCGAGGGATGTCCAACTGCCCATTTAGGCCCGATCCCAGAGGCACAGGGCCTAAACGGACAGTTGGATATCCCTCTCACAATCCAGGACTGCTGGCTCCCAATCGCTCGCCTGCCTGCCTGCCTGCCTGCCTGATTGCCCCTAACTGCTTCTGCTTGCCAGGCTGATCACCCCCTAACCACTCCCCTGCCAGCCTAATCAATGCCTAACTGGTCTCCTGCCAGCCTGATTGCTCCTAACTGCCCTCCCCCTGCAGGCCTGGTCACCCCTAACTGCCCTCCCCTGCCAGCTTGGTCGCCCCTAACTGTACTCCCCTGCTGGTCCTAACTGCCCTCCCTTGCCAGCCTGGTCCTTCTCAACTGCACTCCCCTGCAGACCTTGTCCCTCCCAACTGCCCTCCCCTGCAGGCCTAGTCCCACCTAACTCCCCACCCCTGCAGGCCTGGTCCCTCCCAAGTACCTTCCCCTGCAGGCCTGGTCCCTCCCAACTACCTTCCCCTGCAGGCCTTGTTGCCCACAACTGCCCTCCCCTGCCAGCCATCTTGTGGCGGCCATCTTGTGTCCACATGGGCGCAGCCATATTTGACCACATGGGGGTGGCCATCTTGTGTTAGAGTGATGGTCAATTTGCATATTACCCTTTTATTAGATAGGATTCCCTATTCAAAAGGAGAGGAAATTCCAAGACTTAATATTGCATACAATTTGCTAGAATAATTCTGGTCAACACAGTCTATATAAAACTCCTGAATAACAAATTAACTTTCAACAGTGAATTCAGTCAGACAGAAAAAGACAAATACTTTATGATTTCACTTATATGTGGAATCTAAAGAAAATAGATGGCCCTGTCCAGTGTGGCTCAGTTGGTTGAGCATCATCCTGTGTACCAACAGGTCCTGGATCCCTGGTTCGATTCCTGGTCACTGCATATATAAGAACCAATCAATAAGTGGAACAATAAATCAATGTTTTTCTGTCTCTCTCCCCCTTCCCCTTATTCTCTCTGTCTAAAAAATCAATAAATTAGAAAAAAAAATTTTAAAGAGAGAAATATCCAAATAGAGAGCCATTAGTTAATTGTGGCCTGTTCATATTTTAACCACAAAATTTTATTTCTCTATGGCTTAGGCAAAACAGAATGGTTTGTGCATAGATTTGATCATAAAGAAATTATATAAAAGCTAAACCAGGGGAAAAAAAGGACATTTTATTTATCAATATCTGGTGCTTCTTTGATCATATATTTAAAAGTAATTTTTAAATGTTATCCTTATTCGTATCAATAACAACAGTATGATTGGAATACAGGTGCAATTAGCAACTTGTAACTTTTCACTATAATTACCTTCATTTCTCCTTCTTCCACAACCAGCTGCCAATTGGCATCTCCACCTACATCCTGTAATGAGTAAGTCATGTGGTTCTGCACCATCTCTTCCACCTTGAAAAGAAAAAAGTAAAGCTATGAGAATCTGCCTCCAATTAATAGCTATGACATCATCTCTAAAAAAACAATGATATTCACTTTACTTCAGTTCTAAAAAGATGCTCTTAAGAGAGCTGAGCAACCAAATGCACAAAGGTTAGTAGGTTTGAAAAGTTTAGTCTACATTCTAGATATAATATCTAGGTTAATGACAGGAGGAAGAAATAATGGAAAGATGCTTCAATCAAATAACATACTGTACACTGGGCCTAAGGTGCATCAAGTGACCAAAATAAGCATTTTCGGGGGAGGGGGAAGGGAAGAGAATTCTTTCCTTTACCATAAAGCACTTCCTTACAGAGATGAAGTCTTAAAGCATAAATTCATTAAACTCTAAGGATAAAAGGAGCATGAAGAGGCCATCTAATCTAGTGTTTTATATATTTAAGACTACACTGAGATACTAGAAAATTCATCATACACCAAAATTTCCCTACAAAAGGTAATAAAATTTTGGATATTTCAGTGAAATGATAAAAGAGATTGTGCTGAAGGAACTGACTCCTTTACCATCTACTCATAGACACTTCAGTTAAACTCTATTTTCTAACTTTACTCCATATTTTGTTTTATGTAATAAATACATTAAAGAAGACAGGAAGAATTGAAAAATATATATACTGTACAATTAAAAATGTATCCCTAAGTTTACCTACATATTTTACATAAAATCTATGTTCATTAGGGATAAAAAAATAACCAGATTTACACATATTTTTTTCTTAAAATATATATTTTTTATGGATTTCAGAGAGGAAGCGAGAAAAACATCAATGATGATAGAGAATTATTTATTGGCTGCCTTCTGCACACCACACACTGTGGATTGCGAGTGTGACTTCCTGGTTCATAGGTTGACACTTAGCCACTGAGCTATGCCAGCCAGGTTACACATATTTTGAAATAAACAAATACAAAATTAATGGCTTGGGGGTAGAAATTTAAAATTACTAACCCTGGGGGTATTTAAGTTTTATACACAAAAGAATGTGATCAATATGGTATTGTGGCTGCAATTCTGCTACATCATGCTTTCTAGCTCTCAGAATGCATCTTTGGTTATTGAAAGCAGGATGCTGAAAGTATCTCCTTAATTGGCAGTGATCATAAAAAGGTTCTGATAAAAATACGTGCTGAGATTCTATAATCTATTTTTGTATTAAATAAAAACTAAGATAACATTTTATTTCTTAATTCATTGCTCAAAACAATGTCAATGGTGTTGAGTTGCAGACTTGAGAGAAAATTTAAAATGTGACTAATAGAACATTCTATAGTTTTATAAAGCATAACTTCAGAAGCTGTCTGGAAAACGTGTGCCTCTATAATTTTGAAATATGCTTACAGAAGGTGAGGATGACTAAAGTGGGATACCAAGTTACAAATACATTCAAACTGTATTTCATTTACAAAAGAGAAGAAAGTAAGTTCCAGTTAGTATCCATACGTAAAAAAGCCACAGTAGCACTGCATCATTGTCTGCTTTACATACTGATATGGAAAATGTTTATTCTTATTAGATCCTAAGATCTTAAAAATCTTTAGATTTAATATGTACTTTTTAGGTTGGACACTGGGAGTTAAGAACACCTTTATCTATTAAAAGATTCAAAGGCAAAAAGAAATGTTCCCCCCAACTAAGTCCTACTTATTAATGGATTACTTGTGAAAAAAAAAAGTTAAGGTTTTATTCTGGTAAAAACAAAGTGAGTTCTGTAAAAAAAAAAAAAAAAAAATTACTGCCATTTAGCTCTTTTGTTGGAACGGATGCAGGTAACTGTGTTTTTGTTTGGGAGGCTTTTCCTAAATTAGCAATTTCAAAAGTTTGAAAAATTACCTATTTTGGTTTAAAAAAAAATCAGATTCCACAAATATAAACTGACAGAAGGTAACAAAACTTAAAATAATGCAAAGTAAGTATATTTAACATTGCCTTTCTAGACAGATTATAAAATAAATAAAAATGGTATTCATATAACAATTATCACTGTATCTATGGAAGTTTTTAGTCTTTTGCCCTTATCTGATTCTTTGACTTAAGAGGGCTTGAAAAAGTCCACCAGAGAAACAAATAAGATGTCTTCAGTGCAGTAGTCTTAGGAAATTAAAGAAACTAATGAAGTATAATACTCAATTATTGTAGTAACCATTTCTGCAAAGCCTTCATCATGAAATCTTTATTCAAGCATCTTCCTCTAGGTAATAACATTAGGATTAAGAAGAAAGGTAATACAGGTATAATTTCATTATAATGAATTTTATGTTCACTGCAGTAAAATATGAAGTAGCCAATCTTATTACAGGGGCAGTGACTAGGGCATTCATGACCACAGATACTTCAGATCTAATCTAATGATCTACTCCATTTATTGTTTCAGTTATGATTCCGTATATAAAAAATAAGTAGGACACAAGGGACCATTAAGTTGGACAACAAGAATGAACCAAGCCAAATTTACCGTTTTCTTAGGTTCAAAAATTGATACACTAAAAAATAATGTTCCTAGTAACACCTATTAATATTAAAAAAAAAAGAAAAAAGAAAAAAAAAGACTGGACCAAATTATTGAAGCCGGTTTCCCTGCTTTAATTGTATAAAGTTTAATTAGATAAACAATTTTAGGAATTGTGCCCTTGATTTTTTTGGACCTACAGTTAAAAATGAACTACACAGACAGTATCTTCATACCAAATGAACTATGAAAAAAATGGGTAAAACATTTGAAATAAGAGGTGATGGTACTCTAATTATTACCCTTTTACCTCACATCTGAATAATTCACTATGTCATTTTAAGAGGCTGTCTAATTTAATTTTTCTAATTATTAAGATAGTAATTTCAAATATTTAAAAATTTTTATTAATTTTAGAAAGAGGAAGGAAGGGTAGAGGGAGGGAGAATCAGAGACAAACATGGATTTGTTGCTCCACTTCGTTATGCATTCATTGGTTGATTCATGTATGTGTACCCTGACAGAGATCAAATCTGAAACTTGGGCATATCTGGACGATGTTCTAACCAGCTCAGCTATTTGGCCAGGGTAATATAGTAATTAAAAAAAAAATTGACCTTTGATAGCACAACAACACTGTAATGAACAAAATTCTACTGAACAAAAATAAACCTAGAAGGGCTCAAATATAGTTCAGATCTCTTTCTTTTATACATTTTAAAGGAATACTACTATGTTTATTATTACAGTTACAGAGTCAGAGAGCTATTTGTTGGATAGTTTATTAATAACAAGAGTGTACTGTTAAACTAAAAGAAAAAGGCCCAAAACACGAATAGTCAATTCACAGAAAAATTGCAAACTTGCAAGAAGCAAAAATACCACTTATAGTGTATCACATTGGCAAATTAACTAAATTATAATATTCAGTGTCAGTATAGTAAAAGAAAACTGACCTGGGAATGCAGTTGGTTCAACCTTTTTAATGAACAGTTTGGTAATCTAATTTAAAATTCATAAGAGTGCATGGCCTCTATCCTAACAATTCTAAGAATATATTCTGAGGAAATAATTTAATCAGTGTACAAAAAATGTATATAAAAAGATGTTGTATATACAAGAATGCCCATGTAGCACTACTTATAATAGCGATAAACTGAAAAGAAACTAAAAATTCAATATCAGGTGAGAAGGTAAACCCAGGATGCAATCCATAAATAGGTAAGTAGATATAGACCTTTGTTTATTACTGGTGGGAAGATGGACCTAATTATATGTTTAAAAAATAAAGCTGTTTACAAAATAGTATATATAGATTTAACTACTATGGTAGAAACAGACAATTAAGGTATGTGTATTTATCATATGAGCCTGATTTTTTATATGCATGAGAATATCTATCAAGTGGTACAGTATTTTATTTTATTTACTTTCTAGATCTGCTACAATTAGCATGTATTACCATACAGTAAAAAAGGGAGGAGTAAAATAAATAATTACCACAATAATGTGTTACTATGAACATAAAGTAGAAAAGCTTTATACAGAATTGTTTTGCAGTTATGTTCCCCATGGGTTGATTAACCTACAGCTGTACTGCCCACCCTTTGATTTTATTTTTTCAAAAGATGATTTTTTTCTCTCATTTTGAAATGACATCTTTAGTTGGAAACTGTGTAATACAAATAAATGTGACATATTTAGTTGGCAACTGTAATGCAAATAAATGTGACCAAAAGATCAATTTATAAATCCAAGTTTTTTCTACTTTCTGTACGCTTTGACTTAGAGCTACTTCATTCCCAATTTCTATCCAGAAGACAGATTCATAATTTGCTGTTAGTTTCCTGGTAGATTCATTTATTTTATTTGAAGTTATTTTTCAGGGCATCTCATAATCCTATGCTTAATTATCCTGTCCAATCAGGATTATGAATATAATTTCAACAAGAACAAATCAGTCATGAGCTGAGACTTGTACACCGATGGCAAAGCCAATTAATCAATAGCTACATGCCAAAGCCCAACAAGTTTGCTAATGATACCAAATACTTTAGCAAGGACAATAAACACTCGAACCTCAACGTTATTTGTCTTCATTTTTGCCCTTTTTTTGGAATATGACAGTATAATAATCAAAACCTTAAACAATCTGGTCAGTCACATGCATCACATATTAGGGAAAGAAATCCTTTGGAAAGATTTCTAAACTTACAAACATAAATTACACAAAAAATTAGGTAAAGAATTAAGCTATGATTTGGCAGAAATCTTGTAAAAGCTGGGCATCTACTGCTCAGTGACATATTCACCTGTACTTGAAGGCTGTCAGTTGTTCTATACCTCCCTAAAGCCAGGGTCCTGATGAGGGTCCTGAAACCTCAATTCTTAGGCACTTATCAGTGGCTTGTACTCTTTTCTTGCTCTCATTTATATATTCTTTCACTTATAGTCTGTTTATTCCTATATTTTAAGGGAAAATGGTGACTAGTACTAATGGGTTTTAGTTAGTTTGGCTCTGGGTGATTTCTGATAAATTAATACATCTCTCAAAAATGTTTAAGGAGAAAAAAGCTGCAAAAATCTGAACACAAAATTTGAATTTAGACTTATTGTTCTTTACTGAATAGTTAAAAACTAATGTAAATTTTATTCATATGTGTGAACTAACCTGTTTTAAATTATGCCTTTTAAAAACTTTTATTGAAATACTCTGATAAGAGAAAAATGATATAAATAATACTGATTAACTCAAAGAAATTATGTTGTTATATTATTAAAAGCTCACTTTCTGAGCACTGACAATATGGCAGCCCCTAGGTAGACCTGAGTCCTAGCTAGATCACAGAAGTGCAGCTAACACAATTTAAACTTGGGTAACTTTGGGAATTCAAGTTCTTAAAAATAAAATGATTTCATCCAATAAAATGCAATCACCAGAGCGATACAAAGTTGAATTGTAAAGATAGGAAGATAAAAAAAATATTGTCCCCCAACTAATGCTAATGCTAAAATATATTGTCTTAATGATTTTATTATGAGAGCAGTGAATGCAAGCATCTAGCTTCCTGTGTTAAATTCCTAAACCCTTAATAATGATACCAAATAATCAATTCAAACCAATTTCCATAAATTTAACATAGAAGTATTAATTTATAATATCAAATGATAATGTGCATAAGCAAAGTACAAGTTGTTCAACAAGTATTATTTAAAAAGTTATTTCCCTGTTGAATATAATTATATTTTAAATTGGATTAGAAGTGAAGCTGCTGAATCCTTTTATGCTCTAACCACGTCCATCAAAGTTGCTGAATCCTGTCTGAAGAAATTAGATATTACATAATATTTAAGAACCATGTACTTTCAATTATTTCAATTCAATTTACAATCTTTCAGGAATACCTCCTATATGGCAAAATTTCAAGTTATTCACAGTAAAAGATACAAAGGGCACATGCAAGCTTGATAGAGGAACTATTTAGTAGACAAGGAAGGCCTTTTTAATGCTTATAACTATTTAAAACTTAGAACGAAAAAAGTGGCCTGCCTAGCCAACTAATTTCTCGGAACGGGGAAAGCAGGCTGAAATATAGCACAGAAAGACTCAAGTCCACGCTATACATTCATACAGTACCTGGGAGCTGAATCTGTGAACATCGTCAGAGGCACTGACTAGATCAATGGAAGACATGGAGGAAGAGCGACTATAGGGCTACCAGAGACAGACAAAGAAAAAACCAAGTAATCAGAACAAAGGCACAACAGAGCATTCAGTACCAACTTCCAAACACAAGATAAAGAGAGAGAACAAAGCACTATATGAAACAAGCTCAGCAGCAAGTGCTGAGTCCATGCACCTATTATGTGTTATGCTCCAAAATCTATCTAAAATGAATGCAGAACTTTCAACAATGAAAAATAATACTACTTAAACTCAAAGAAAAAAAGAAACTTAATGTAACTGGCTAATTGGACTAGTCATTCCCTGTCACACCCCCCTTTCCTCTTAAATGAAAAAGAACTTTATATTCACAAGAAGATTCTGTTTTAGAGGATGCATATGGAAGAAAACATGTAATACCAAAAAAAAAAAAAAAAAAAAAAAAAAAAAAATCTCATTACTTAAGTTCAAGAAAAGGGAGAAAACTTATAATACAAAATAGCTCCATTAACAGTGAAGAACAACACAACATATACTTTCAGTAAACTCTGACATTAGGCTTACCTTTTGGACAAATCTATGAGTCCCCACAGAGGAAAAGGCATCTCCAGATGGCATGGATGTAGGCCAATGTAACCTGACCTTTTCGCTCTGTGACTAAGAAAACATATAATGTTAAAATGCGAAGGCTTTTAAGTATATTTTGCAACTAAAGAATGGTTAATATAACCTATAACCCCAAACTATCAACATTTAATTACTGAACACTTTAGTACTTATGTAGTAGGTAGTTAGACCAACATGAACAGAGAAAGATGACAGGCTAAATACAGAAGGCCAGCAGAGCAGAAAGCCTCAGGTGCCTAGCTATGGGGAAAACAAGGACATCCATCCCCGGGATATCCTTTCCTCCCTGGAGCATATCTCCAGTCATGTGGGTTAGACCCCCTTAGAGGGCGAGAGAACAAGGGGACTTGTATGATTTCTCCCTTAAGGATTAAGCTCCAGGACAATGAGGTTCTGACCCATATCAAATAATCTTAGTAACAAAGCCTCAGGTCTGGTGACCACAGAGACAGTTTAGGTTAAACTAGGGATTATATCTAGGCCTCAGTTTGTTTCAGCTCCAGGCCCAGAAAAGCAGCAAAACCAGACAAGCCATGCTTATGGCTGACATGAGGACCAGCTACAGTGACTAATGACTCCTTGCCCTGGTGCTGCCCAATTAGTGGAGATCACAACCCTGAAAGGACATATCTCTAAAGCTGATGAATATTCTACTGGGATCCTCCCTGAAATCTCCAGACAAATACCCTCAAGGATGATAACTTAGCATAGCTTTCTGTATGGAGCACATCTATGCCGTTCCCCACCCTCAGACACTTTTTCCTTGCCTCTTTTTCATAATCTTCAAGGGTCTTCTTTTGCTTCTGTAACTTGTTTCCTGAGCCCATTTCTTCTGACTCACTTCTAGCTCTGTGGCTTTCTAAATAAGCTTTTGCTTGTGTTTGAGTCTCAGCTCTGAATTCTTTCTTAGGCAGAACTCAAATAATAAGGACTCAAGAACAGAGGTTGCTGAACTGAGATACGGTCTAAATACACCAAACATGTCAAACTCGCAGCCAAGAGGCTGCATGTGTCCCACAATGAATATTTTTGCGACCCAGCCAATATAACCGTATGTAAGAAATGTTTTAATAAAAATTTTGTAACTTAATTTTTACAATATCCTATTATACATAATCTATATTTATAAAAGGCTAAAAAGCCTAAGCAACAGGACAACCTTCTGGTAGCTAAGATGCACAATGACCACCAGAGGGCAGATGCTCAATGCAGGAGCTGCTGATCTGCAGTGATTTGGCAGTTGCGGCTCTTGGGTCATGTACCAGAGAGAAGGGAGCCTGATTCCGGGGTGCATCACCTGAGAACTGCCCTCAAAATCTGGGATCCCCTCAGGGATGTCGGGAAGCCAGTTTCAGCCCGATCCCTACAGGCCAGGCCAAAGGACCCCACCAGTGCACGAGTACGTGCACTGGGCCTCTATTTATCTACACTAATAAAAGAGACAGATGGAAATTGACCATACCTCTGCTAGGCCCACCAGGCAATCAGGAGTTAGTATGCAAATTAATCCAACAAAGATGGCAGGTTAATTTGCATTATGTAGGCCTCCAGCAGTCTGGTTCCTGGGAACATACTCAGGACCCAGGCTGCTCTGAGCCTGTAGGCCTGAGCTGCAGGGATCTCATAAGCTCTTGGCCACTCCTAGCCTACTAGCCTTGGCACAGATCAGCAGGGGACAGGGCGGCAGAGGCTTGAGCAGGGCCTGAGCAGAGTCTGGGGAGCGGGGTGAGGGTAGGGGGGAAGACCTGCCCAAGCTGTGGCACAGACTTGATCGGAGCCGGGGTGCCCTGCACAAGCCCTGGCGGAGGCTTGAGCAGGGTCTGAATGGAGCCAGGGGCCCTGTCCAATCCGTGACAGAGGTTTGATTGAAGCCAGGGGGCCCTGAGTGAAGTTAGGAGGCCCTATCCAAGCCACATTAGAGGCTTGGGGAGATGAGGGTACCAGCCTTGGCTTGCCAATAGTCCTGCCTCTGTGTGTGAACTGCAGAAGAAACATCTTTTCTGACCACTCATTGGCAAAGCTCCCTGTGCGCCACTGGTAATGTTCTTGGTAACTTGGGTAATAAGAATCAAAAAGGTTAAATTAAAAAAAAAAAAAAAAAAAGTGATCTAGGGTTTTTCCACCACAGTCCTAAAGGAAAAAAAAACAAAGGTCTGCTGCTAGAGGGTTAAGAAATGTTATATCCTACCCTAGCAGGTTTGGCTCAGTAAATAATGCCTTGACCTGCTGACCGCAGGGTCCAAGTTCGATTCTGATCAAGGGCATGTACCTAGGTTGCAGGGTCCTCCCTGGCCAGGGCCCAGGTCAGGGCTTATGCAGGAGGCAACCAATCAAAGTGTCCCCCTCACATTGATGTTTCTCTCTGCCTTCTCCTCTCCCACACTCTCTAAAAACCGATGGAAACGTATCCTCAGGTGAGGATAAAAACAAAGAAAGAAAAAAATGTCATATCCTATGAAAGACACATCTTGAAAATGCCTAAAGAAAGTTGTCATTTTTTCTTGGTAAAGGGTCTGGAGTCTGTGTTGATGAGAACACTTTGGGGGCTGCGGTGGCTGGCAGTGGCTGCAGCCATGGGGTGATAGGGCTGGCACCTTCTCCTTATCAGCCTGGTTGCCTCCTGCAGAGGGAGGCCAGAATGGGGCTTAGGCCCACTCCCCATGTAGGACATCCCCTGAGGGCTTCCAGTCTGTGAGAGGAGGTAGGCTGGGCTGAAGGACCCCCACTCCAGTGCATGAATTTTGTGCACTAGGCCCCTAGTATATATATGAAAGGCTAAGTGACCAACCAACCATCCGACTATCTGGTACATGATGCACAACATTGACTAGTGCATGCATGATATATATAAAGCTCTCGCTGGTGCCAATTGCATGTGACCAACTGGCCAGTACATATGACGGGCACTGGCAATGCTATCCTATGTAATAGAGGTAATATGAAAATTGACCATCCAACACACATGATGGCTGCCCCCATGTGGACTCAAGATGGCTGCCACAGATGGCTGGCAGTTGGGGGTGATCAGGCCTGAAAGGGGTGACCGGGCTGGCAGAGGAGGGCAGTTGGAGGTGACCAGGCCTGCAGGGGAGGGCAGTTGGGGGGGGACCAGGCCTGCAGGGGAGGGCAGTTAGGGGTGACCAGGCCTGCAGGGGAGGGTAGTTAGGGGTGACCAGGTCAGCAAAGGAAGGCAGATAGGGGCAACTGGGCCAGCAGGGAAGCAGTTAGGCATTGTCAGGCTGGCAGGGAACAGTTAGGAGTTGATCAGGCTGGCAGGCAGAAGTGGTTAGGGTCAATCAGGCAGGCAAGTGGTTGGGAGCCAGTCTCCTGGATTATGAGAGGGTTGTCTGACTGCTCATTTAGGCCCTATGCCAGTGGGATTGGGCCTAGATGGGAAGTTGGACATCCCTCAAGGGGTTCCAGATTGGCGATAGTGCAGGCTGGGCTGAGGAACACACACCGAACCTCTAGTACTATATAAAAAAAGTCTAATATGCAAATCGACCGGACAGCAGAATGATCAGTCACTGTGATGCACACTGACCACAAGGGGGCAAATGCTCAATGCAGGAGATGCCGCCAGCTCTTAGGACCAGGCCAGCCAAGGAAGGTGCCAGCGGGGGAACCCCCTGATCACCCTCTGGCTGCCCCACAGATCAGCTCTGACTGTGGGCCAGGCCTAGGGACCCCACCCAGGCACAAATTTTGTGCATCAGGCCTCTAGTTTAAAAATAAATGTTTACCATATGAATCTTTCTTCTAATTAACTTCCTTTTGATGTGTATGAATTTGTGCACCAGGTAACTAATTATTAATAACAAACTACAATGTTCACTAATGACCTATTACTATAATTGTGTTGCATTCATTTCCCTTACACGCCTTACACACAGGCACACCATTTGTTTCCACTAATACTAGAAAGCTAATATTTTAGTAGCCAATTGCCACATCATTAGTCTTGCACTGACTTGTTTGGTGTGCACAACGGGAAATATCTTGATTTCGAAGAACAAGAAAAATAGGTTTATTTATGTTACGCTTATTAATCTGTGGAGTTATTCAGTGTGTGGAAAGTTAATGTTCAAGAAAAAATATTGATTTTTATTAAAATATTCTATTATTTTATGTTAATGATTTCTCATTTATTTCAGCCCTTTGTATTCAGCATATCTTTATTGAAATAAATCTACGTTTCTATGAAAATTGAAGCTTTTGTTTTTTGTGGCCCACATAAACTTAATTCTTCTTTATTTGGCCTGTACTAGCCTTTGAGTTTGACATGTTTGGACTATACCAATCTAACAACTGTTGCTGTTTTGCTGCCAACACTTAGAAATATTTGAATCATGAAACTACTCTAATATTTCCTTTATGTGTCCCAATTCAATCTCTTCTTTTGAACTTTATAGTTATTAATTTAGCCCAGGGATTATTTTTTTTATTTTGCTCCTAGTCGGACTCTCAAATGCCAAAATGAAATCATTTACCATAAATCAATCTTAATTGAATATTGCTGATTTTCTTATCCAAACTCTGCCCAAATTATTCAAATCATTCCACTTCATAAGGCTCTGCAGGGCTGTATCATTTGAATCAATACCAGTGTTTGCTTCAGTCACATTCCAAACAAGTCATGTCTATTTTTGCCTCCTTTCCATAAAGGTATTCATTTTGTCTTCCATCTAATCATCTCATTTCTGTTAAGTTGCCACTTAACTTCTTTCTTCCTCAGCTTCCCTAGTTTCTTTTCACTTATTCAATAAATATCTATTAAATGTAATGTACCAGAAACATTGCTGTTTTGTGTGCTCATTTTCTAACCATGTAGAAAACAACTCGTTATTTCTATCTAATACGATCTGAACATAATGGCATATATCTCATTTCTCACCACTTTTTGTATACCTTTCCTTATGCTGGAAAATAATGTAAAACAAATAATGTAAACTCAAAACTGTGTCCCTATGTAGTGGCTGTGTTGTTGAGGGCCCTGTGTAATATCTAATGCATACAATGAGGGAAATGATCTGAACCTTTGGAACCGATTTCATGGATTACTGATGCTTACTCCTCTATACTGTAATCATCTGTCATAATGACATATCTAGTTATTAGATAAGGAAAGTCATGGTTCTGTTTAATGCTTGTTTTGTAGAGGATCTATCGGAGTACCAAAAATAGTTTGAAATGAAATGAGTTGATAGTCCCATGAATATTTCTTTTCTCTAAAGCTTATAGGAGCTTTCATTGATTCTCTTCAATTCCAACTCAACCAATGTGTTGTTACTTCAAAGAGTAGGATTTTAGAGCCATACGTATGATTTGAGTCATTGTGTCTAACCCCTTGTTTCACAGATCAGGAAACCAAGGCCCAGAAAATTTAAGTGATAAGTTTACAGCTTCATAATTAGACAGTGGCAAAACTGAGGCTAAAACAAAATTGTCATGACCTCAGTTCACTATACTTCCATGGTAACACATATTCGATAAACAAAAAACAAACACACACACATAAAGACAGTGAAGGTGAAAAAACCTCCCCAAAAAACAAACATAATGATACTGTTTTGGGTAATACTTTTGGCATCCAAAATTCAAAGTCATTTGAGTGCTGTGTGGCATAATGAAAAATGAACATGAAAAGCAGCCACTATTACAGGTGATTTACCTTCAAGTAGATAGACTAATAAATGGGCATAATAGCCATGACTGTCTTAGCAATGGTGGGGAATGAACATGCCAATTTTTTTATGCAAGTAAATCTGTAGTGTACAAGTGATATACATATCATTTATTTGTAAGATGCTTCAAGTCCTGGGAAAGTAACTAAAATTCATCTTCAGTACCATCTAGTGGTAATACATGGCAACTGTACTTTTGCAGAATTGAAGGCAAGGGATCAAATTATCTTGAAATTAAGAGTTAAAGAATTTAAGATATGCTTAGTTCCACTTCCACAAGAGAAGCTGGGCATAATTGCTGTGAATTTAATGATAATAAAACACTGAGAAAATTAAAGGTGAGGAAGCAATTGAAGGTTAAGATAGTGAAAGCAATAAAGGAGTTAATAATAAAAACTGAATGGTATCAATGGAAGAAAAATAGATTCTTGGTAATCTTCCTTTTGAATTTATATGGTACTTGGTGGTAAAAAGAAGTTCAGAGAGATTGTTTTACTCAGAGTAAATATATGCTTAATATTAACAGGATCATGATAAAGTTGGATATTTCAAAGTAATAGGCAGACTATTTAAATTTAACTTCAAATTAATTATGCATGCTTTCTTGAAACTATCATTGGTCTTCTTTCCATTGCTTGGAAATTGATCAATGGAAGAAATGACATAAAAATTCTCCTACAGTTGTGACTCAATACAGACACAGTTAATTTCCTAGGTTATCAGTTTTCAAATTCTATTTATATAAAATAACACACATCAAGAAATACCTCGTGTTAAATTTTTAGTGACAGACATACCTGTTCTTCTATTTTATCTTGTCTGTCAAGAGCAGCTTCAACAGCATCAAAGAATTCTTCTTCATTAATCAGACTATTTGGACCTTCCTATTTGAACACACAGAAGAAAAAAAAAAAAGCTGGTTTAAGAAAGTAGAAAACACTGATAACTCTGGTATTAACTCTAGGGAAAAGTTGAAAAGTGATTCAACAAACATTTATGAACCAGTTAGTACACTAGGTAATCTACACTAATAAAAGAGAAACATGCAAATTGACTGTCACTTCGCTATGCCCACCAATCAGGATTATGTAAATTAACCCAACAAAGATGGCAGCCCTGTCCCCCAGCTACTCTGGGCCTCTGGGCAGCACTCATGCAGGCAAGCAGTGGTTGGGTGGGGCAGGACGCCTGCTCTGAGGGGAAGGGCCAGGGGCGGAGGGAACTACAGGAAGCCAGAGGAAGGCCTGGGTCCCGGAAGCTGGAGGAAAACCGGCACCGGCAGCCAGGGGAAGGAAGGCCTTTAGTATTACATAAAATGAGTATAACATATGTTTTGTGTATTAGAATCATGAGCATAACAATTCAATCATTCACTACTCATATATTTACTGTATATTGACCAATATTGTATTAGGGCAATAATCTAGAGTAAGAGATTGGTGAACTATATGGACCATAGGCCAAATCCAGTCCACTGCTTGCTTTTGTATGGCCTTTAAGCTTTGAATTTCATTTTTTAAATGGTTGGGGGAAATGGAATGAATAACAACATTTCATGACATGTTGGATTACATAAAGCTAAATAAAGTTGTATTGGAATATAATCTTGTTCATTCATATGCATTGTCTATGCCTGCTATGGTGACAGACACCATATAAAATTGAAGAAAGATAAGTACAAAGTTGCAGATCCACAGGCAATGAGCAGTACAGATAGGGTACTGAGGGGGATCTTTCTAAGCAAATATAAGTAATTCATGGAGAAAGAAAAATTGAGCTAGCTGATGCTTGAGAGCCTGGTTAGATGGCAGAGCAGTGGTTCTCAATTGCCTGGAGAACTTGTTAAAATGAAATACCCAGGACCCCATACACAGAAATTACTTCTCTGCAGGTCTTGGGGAGAACTGAGAATATGCATGTTTAATAAGTTCTCCAAATGACTCTAATGCAAAGAGAACCTCAGCTGTATCAGAAGATAAATGTGTAAAAGAATAGCAAAATGGAAACAAACAAGGTATGTTCCTGCTGTGATGGAATAAGTGGACTATAAGTAAAATAATGGATTTACATTATGGTAAAAGTAGAGGCTGAAAAGGTACACTTAAGTTTAAGGTTCCCTATTTTTTTTATTTTTTATTTAAATAAGTTTTTAGCCCTAGTTGGTTTGGTTCAGTGGATAGAGCATTGGTCTGCGGACTAAAGGGTCCCAGGTTCGATTCCAGTCAAGGGCACATGCTCGGGTTGTGGGCTCGATCCCTGGTGGGGAGTATACAGGAGGCAGCTGATAAATGATTCTCTTTCATTATTGATGTTTCTCTCTTTCTCCCTTTCCCTTCCTTTCTGAAATCAATAAAAATATATTTAAAAAATGTGTTTTCATTGATTTTATAGAGGGAAGGAGGGAAACAAAAACATGGATGAGAGAAAAATATCAACATTGATTGGCTCCTTCTGCATGGGGACCAAGACCGCAACCAGGGCATGTGACCTGACTGGGGAACTAAAACAGGGACTTCTTTTAAAAAAAAAAAAAAAATATATATATATATTTATTGTTTTTTTTTACAGAGAGGAAAGGAGAGAGATAGAGAATTAGAAATATCGATGAGAGAGAAACATCGATCGGCTGCCTCCTACACACTCCCTAATGGAGATGTGCCCACAACAAAGATACCATTCTCTTGCCCTGAATCGAACCTGGGACTCACCAGTCTGCAGGCTGACACTCTACTCCCTGAGCCAAACTGGTTAGTGCCCTTTTTGCTATAGGGGTTGATGCTTAACCAGCTGGGCAGAATTCCCTAAAAATATATATTTTTAAAATCCTCACCCGAGGATATTTTCCCATTGATTTTTAGAGAGTGTAAGGGAGCCGGAGAGACAGAGAGAGAAACATCGATGTGAGATATATTAATTAGTTGCCTCCCACACGAGCCCCAACCAAGCCGAGGATCTTAGTCGGTAACCGAGGTTATGTGCCCTTGACCGGAATAAACCCGGGATCCTTCAGTCCGAGGGCTGATGCTCAATCCACTGAGCCAAACCGTCTAGAGCACCCTAAATTTTTAAATATAAAAATAGAACACATAAATGATTGTTGGTCTCTCTACAATCTTCCCAGTTAAACTGATAACCCAACGTCATCACTACTTCATGAAAAAGTATCTAGCAACATCATCCCATCCCTGCACAACTTGGGGTCACACAGGAAGGATGGGAGAAAATATGGTATAATGTTTCTGTCATTTGGCACAGGCAAATGAGAAATCTTGATTTAATACAATAGTTCTTTTGGAGTTATGAGGACTCCCTCATAACTCATTTCAAAAGAAAAAAAATCCACAGAAAGTTTTTATTCAACTTCAACATATACAAAGAATAGTGCATACTTCAATGAATTATCACTAAGTGAATATAAACATGTAATGACCTGTTGGATCAGGAGAACAGTAATAACGTTCTAGAGGCTATCCTGAAAGATTCACTGTATACAGTTAAAACCTTTCAAAGGCACTTAAATGACAGTAGTATCAATTTGGTCTTTGTTTGATGTGAGAAAAATAAAAAATTTCCAAAATCTATGCTGAACGTATTTTCTGGTGATTTTTGAAAACTCTACTGATCATAATCACATCTACGGTTTTAAAAATTATAATACGCATTCAATCTATGCAATCATGTCAGCATCTCGGGAGTCTCCTAATTGGGAAATTCAGCATTAAAAAGTTCTGCTTCTGGGTGATGAACACACAATGTAATATACAGATGATGTACTATACACCTGTACACTTGAAATCTAAGCAATGTCAACACAATACATTTAATACAAAGTCTTTAAAAATTCTACTTTGATAAGTGAAATGGGCAAATAAGGTACATTTTTCCTTTGATGGCAAATCTGAGAACTTAGTAATTGCATAAAATTTCCTTTATTAAAAAACAACTAAAAACCCCCCACACTTATCCACCTTGCTTATCAGACTCTACAGTCTGTTCCTCACTTGCCCTACTGGCAGCATCTCTAATGACTCTCTTTGCAAAGACCTCAATTCTTGGAATCCCAACTTTCCAGTTCCCCTCTATTAAACACCCTTTGGGCTCCTGTGCAGACTCTTCCTCCTTTGCCTTTCCCTTAAATGTGGGTGTTCCTTAAGGTTCCACACTTGCTTTTCCACTGCATTTTTATTCATTCTAAGAGTTCAGTCATTATCTGATAATTTCCCAAACTCACAGCCTATACATACCTTTTCTAAGTAGTGTTAGATCTTTACATCTAATAATATGTAAGACCTCCTCAGATGAATGTCTCAACTCATGTGTAACATGTCGAGAACCTGTTCTTCCCCTACCTGTGCACCAATAGGATAAAGGTAGAAATCTGGGCCTGTTCTTGGATTCCTCCCTTTTCCTTCATTCAATCAACACACCCTTCCATTCTACTTTCCAAATATTTCATTTTTCCACATCTATTTCTACTGTCCTACCCTATCTAATTTAGACTATATTAAATTCTTAACTGTTATACTGAAAAAAATCTCCAAGTCCCTGTCACAACTCTCACCCTCAATCCACTCTCCTCACTGCAGGAAGCAAGAATAATTTTTCTAAAGTATAAACCTGAAAACCCAATTTGCATAAAACCCATTCCTGAGGATCTGTACTGTTCTCAGACCTTTTTATCCCTCCTTCCTCTCAATAGGCTCCCTGATCCACTGATTACTCAACCTACTTATTCTTAAGGTTTCAGCTAAGATGCTATATCCTTTAGGAAGCCATGCCCACTATTGTTACAAGTGCTTTATAATATATATTATTCTATTTGCCTGTTACCTAGTCCTACATTACCATTAATATATATACTCAGGAGGGGCTTTCAGGCAGGATCCTTGTCTGCCTTGTTCCTTGCAATCTCACCCCACCCTAAACTTGGCACAATGCTTTGTGCTATAAGTCTTAAGGAATGGACTTAGGATTATAAAGTAATTTCTGAGGCTGTAGATGAAACATTTAAACTCTGTTAAATAATTAAAACATCCTAAATGTTGATTAAGAACCAAAATAAAGTCACATTCTGAATTAAAAGTGTCATTTTAAAATCCATGCAAGCATAGTACTGACACAATATAGATGGTTCAAGAATCTAAAAGGAAGGGGGAAAACATAAAAACAGGTCCTAGTTTATTTAAAAATTGCATACTTAATTTCATACCACAAGGGGTTGGTGAGAAAAGGCTGAAGTACCCTTAACCATGTTCTTCATTAAAAGAAGGCAGTACAGGAGTAGAAAAGAATGGTTTATTCAACAACACCATTAGAATAAAAGATTTTTATATTATACCATAATTTTTAAAAATCCAGGTATATCAGCAATATATTTAGAAAAGATCATTAAAAAAGAAAATACAGATAATTATTTGAGGTAGAGAATGCTTTTTAAACATGACACCAAATGTAGAGATAAGTATAACAAAAGACTGAGAGATTACATAAAAGCATAAAACTTTTATATAGCAAATTTTAAGTGACTAATAAACATATTTTTAGAAAAGTCTGAATTAATCACATCAATAAATAAATTAACATTTTTAGATTTGAAACTAGTAAACACATATATCTAGCACAAGGCCTCTCTTTCCTCCACCCGGTTCATTCCCTGAAAAGAAAACTGTGTTGACAGAAGTGGAAGCATATAACTATATTTATATATTGCTAGAAGGAAATAAATTAGTACTATATATTGTTAAATTAAAAACACAGGCTTTTTGTGTATTTTCTCTAATCTTTCTATAAGAAATATTTATTTTATTTATAATATAAAAAAATAAGGTAACCTAAAACGGCAAAACAATATGCTTAGCATCAGATTAAAAATTAAAATTGTAATAGCTTATATTTTAGTAATTTAGCTTATTAAAACCCCAGAGAATAATTAATTATATAATTTTTATACATCCTAGAAGAAATGAATTGACAGCTTAATAATTAAAAATATATTACAGCTCAAGTCTAGTCATCATGGATTTACATATTTGGAAATCAATTACAACATAAAAAATATTTAATTAATAGCAGCTGAGTTTTTTCTTTAATCAATTCCAACATTAAATATAGTTAGTAAAAGCTCTTTTTTTTCTCAATCAGTTCCAACATAATAGTCAATATCAGCTTTTTGTTCCCTTCTAGAATAAAAATGTCAAGATTTTCTTCTATTTCTTTAAAAATAGTCTAATTGTAATTATTTTAAAATATATGTGTTTTTTTATTGACTTCAGAAAGAAGAAGGAAGAGGGAAAGAGATAGAAACATCAATGATGAGAGAGAATTATTGATCGGCTGCCCCCTGCATGCCTCCCACCTGGGACTGAGCCTGCAAGCTGGGCATGTGCACTGACTGGGAATTGAACCACACTGACCTCCTGGTTCATGGGTTGATAATCATTGAAGAATACCAACCGGGCTAACTATAACTATCTCATCATCTTATTCTATCTCAATGGTACTTCTTGCTATTCTATTTAAAAAATATTCATTTTACCCTGGCTGGTTGGCTTAGCTGACTGGAGACTCGACCTGCACACCAAAAGGCTGTGGGTTCAATTCCCAGTCTGGGCACATACCTAGGTTGTGGGTTTGATCCCCTGTTGGGGCATGTATGGGAGTCAACTGATGGATGTTCAATCTCTCTCTCGCCTTCCTCTCTATCTAAACATCAATAAAAACTAAACAAACAAACAAAAAATAAACAACCCCCCCCAAAACATATCCTCAGGTGAGGATAAAAAAGTAATTTAAAAAATGCTCATTTCATGTTGTTAATAGCAGCTGAGTTTTTGTTAATGACAATTATCATATACACACTGAGTGGCCAGATTATTATGATCTCTGAATGCATAATAATCTGGCCACTCAATGTACTTATGTATAAGGAAAAACTTGCAAATCTTGATATGTCAAGGGACCAGGAGATAGTGGCCTCCAGCCTCTGGCTAGTAAGTCCTCTGCTTCTTTCTAACTACCCATAATCCAGTTGTTATACATGGAAAAACCTTGTTTTAAAATCCCAATTCTGTGGTCAGTCTACACTGAGTGGCCAGATCATTATGCGTTCAGAGATCATAATAATCTGGCCATTCAGTATATATTATATCTTTTTCTATAAAAACATGTCAAAAACTAGCTTATAAAATTTGAATTATGCATGTACATGGAAGAAAGATTTTATTAACTGCTCAGTAAAAAAAAAGAGGTTAACTGCTCAAAAAAAAAGAGGAAAGAAGTTGCCTTCACACATCCAAACATAAAGGCAAGGTAATTATAATAGTTTGTGCTCTACTGTGGATAAGACATCATAGTATATATACAAACTAAAATATTTTGCCTGTATAAAGTATTCAGGTTTTCCCTCCATAAGTTGCTTTTATTTAAAAAAGAGAGTTAGAAGATAACAATAAAAATTATCATCTTCACAGGGCAGATGAACACTTGTCTTATACTGTGGACAGGCATAATAAATAAGCCTTTGAAAGCCTATACTAAATTTTGTAGGCAATACCAAAAATTCTATTTCAAAGTAAGCCTAGCATTTATATATTATGGTATATACTTTTAATTAAAATAAACATATAAAATTATATATTTAGAACCTTTAAAGGTTACAAAAATATAATTTAAAAATTAATCACTTTTGTGATAGGCATGCCTTTGTGTTTTCCTTTCTAAGTTCAAAATGTAACGCCATACCTCATAATCAGGTCCTCCAAAGTGAGATTTTTTCTTAAGTTCTATCATGGCATTTTTGCATGCTTCCTCTGCTCTTCTTCTTTTCTCCATTTCCTATTTTCAAAAGAAAGCAAGTGAAAAATCAAAATAAGATATCCCCCCAAAACTGAAAATATTATGTGCTGACAGGGTGAAGAGCAACAGAAATTCTCATCTATTGCTGGTGGGAGTTTAAACTGAAAAAACCACTTAAGAAAATTGTCAATATCGGCTAAAGCTAGTTAGTTGTATATCCCCATGAATTAATAATTGTATTCCTAGGTATATGCTCAAGAGAAATGAGTGCATATATCCACCAAAAGATACGTACAAGAATGTTCCAAGCAGCTTTATTCATAATAATAAAAATATAAAATCCTAAATTTCCATCAATTGGAAAAATAGATAATCAAATTAAAGTCAAACAATGAAAATTTATCATACAATGAAATACTATCTATACTAATAAAAGGATAATATGCAAATTGGTTGGGACACCCTCATGCAATGACTGAACAGCAGACTGTGTGGGGCGACCAGACTGGCAGGAAAGGGGGGGGGCAGTGAGGGGTGACAAAGTGACCAAACAGCAGGCTGCATGGGGTGACCAGGATGGCGGGAGGGTGTGTGTGTGGGGGGGGAGACAAAAGAGGGGGTGGTGGTGGTGGTGGAGGGCAGTGAGGGGTGACCAGGCCAGCAAGAGGGGACAGTTGGGGGTGACCAGGCTGGCAGGGGAGGCAGTTGGGGATGACTAGGTCAACGGGAGTGGGGGGAATGCAGTGAGGGCAACCAGGGGTAGTTGGGGATGACTTGGCCGGCAGGAGGGGCAGTTAGGGATGACAAGGCCAGAAGGGGGAGGGGGCAGTGAGAGGTGACCAGGTTGATGGGAGGGGGGGGCGGGCAGTTAGGGGCAATCAGGCTGGCAGGCAGAGGGAGTTAAGGGCAATCAGGCAGGCAGGCAGGTGAGTGATTAGGATCCAGCGGTTCTGGATTGTGAGAGGAATGTCTGACTGCAGGTTTAGGCCTGATCCCCATGGCCTAAACCAGCAGTCGGACATCCCCCAAGGGGTCCCAGATTGGAGAGGGTGCAGGCTGGGCCAAGCCCTCAGCCTCCGCACGAATTTCTTGCACCAGGCTTCTATTACAATAATAAAAAATAATAAACTACCACTAGATGTAACCCATAAATAAATCTCAAGTCATGTTAAGGGGGAAAAAATAGCACAAGAGTATATACTGTATGATTTCATTTATATGTTCATGAACATATAAAACTAATCTATGATCATGTAAGTTAGAATTGTGGTGGTGGTGGTGGTGGTGGTAGGGAAATGAAGGAACCTTGTGCTATAAAAGTTCTTTCTGCATGTTAATCTGGGGTTATAGGGATATATACAAATGTACAAAAATCATCAAGCAGTACTCTTAAGATTAGTGTACATCATAGTGTATATACATTAATATCTTAAAAAATGAATAAAACCAAACCACACAGCACAGCAATATTTAAAAGATTTAGAGAAAAGTGAAAAAGCAAGTGAAATTACACATAGGTGAGTCTACTAAGGTAAGCAAACATCTTAAATGAATAAAAGATATTTTAAGGCAGTGTGGTTAGATACGAATGAAGATGATGATTCCTTAGTGAAGGTTAAAGAGACTAAATAAAGAAAAAAGTTTTAAATAAACTAGTCTAGATGAGTTGAATGATTCTCTTGAACCATTAGTCTAATAGATTTAAGGGGTTGTCTTGTTTTCTCAATACATTATTTTTGTGTGCATAGGGAATCTTCTAAAAACTCAATTTGATCCACACTGGTATAGATTTGAAATTTTTCAATATAGAACAGTTTAACTCCTGAATAGTAATGAAATGGCTGTATACCTTAAATGGATGTCTTTATTGCCTGTTTTTTAAAAATAAATATTTTGTCAGTCAATATGGCTACTTCACTTGAGAATTCTGAACAATTCTCTTTTTGTCTAAACATGGGAACTGTTTTAAATACATAGTGATATTCAAGTCCTACGGCCATTCTGCCATTACATTAGTGTGGACAATGCTTTCCTAGTGTCCTGCTTTAAATTGATAATACCTTCAAATTCTACAAGCAATATGATTCACTTATTAAGAAGATTCTGACTAGCCCTAGCCAGTTTGGCTCTGTGGTTAGAGCATCAGCCCTTGGACTGAAGGGTCCCAGGTTCTCTTCCGGTCATGGGCCTCAGGTTCAGGCTCACAACCAATCAATGTATCTCCCAAATCAATGTTTTTCTCTCTCTGTCTCTCCCCCTCCCTTCCACTCACTCAAAAAAAAAGAAAAAATTAACAAATGGGAAAAATACTCTCGGGTGAGGATTAACAACCCTCCCCTTCCCAACAGACATAAAACAACAACAACTATGGAAGATTCTGACTGATTTCTAGCCTAGTATCCAGGGCTGAATATAGAAAATAGTAAAATTCTTCTAATTCTGCTACTTAACACCTGTGGACAAGTCTTGGGGCCACAGTTCCTCTTCTATAAAATGGTGGCATATTTGGGTTCTAACATTTTACTATTTCATTGATGTTGAATTATGAACAGAAATATTCCTACTAAACAAATTCACTAAGCCATACATTACACTAGAAACTAAATATTCATATTTTAATATTATCAGTGTAGTAATTTAAACAAAGGTCAGAAAAGGTGAGCAGTAAGCAAATGTTTAATGAACAATATAATGTATGTTGAATGGTATCACAATGACCTTGGAAAATGCACATGGTTACAAATGCAATAAGTTAATATTTAACTTTATAAATCGGTGTTTAAGTTCGTTTATAAAGCTTAAATACAGTTTCATATGTCATACAATAAAGTTGGGTAATTTTAAATGGCTCATCACTTACATTCCAAAGCACTGCTTTATTACAAAAATGTTATTAACCAAGAATGCATATTGTACAGTTACTGAATACTTAATGGATGAATTTCATTAGGAAAATGAGGTTAAGATGCCCGCAAAGTTTCAGAAGTACCACCTGCTACTTCTATCAACCCCAATGCATTTTTCTGTAAGAGTTAGTTTGGTTTAAATATTCAATCCATATTTAAAACTTAAATGAAATGATTACTTAACAGAAAGAAAACGAGTCTTACCTTATCCATTCTCTTTTGCCAGCTGTCTTCACGTTTTACCATTAGTTCAATACAATGAGAAAGTGTAGCAAGAATTCCAGCAGTAGTTGCTTTAAAAGTTATTGCCTCCCCTTTAAAGTCTATACCATTAATTCCTTTCAGTGTTACCTGTGGAAATACTAAAAAAGAAAGTTTTCCACTGAAAATTTTCCTAATGGAAAAGTAATTCTTCACAATTTTAAAATTAAAACTTGTTTAGAAAACTAGCAAATCAGCCCTGGCCAATGTGACTTGGTTGGAGTGTTGTGCCATATACCACAAAGTGCAGATTCTATTTCCAGTCAAGGTATATCCCAGGTTACAGATTCGATCCCTGGTTGGGGCATCTGCAAGAGGCAACTGATCAATGATGTTTCTCTCTCTCTCTCTCTCTCTCTTTCTCTCTCTCTCTCTCTCTCTCTCTTCTTCTTCTTCTTCTTCTTCTTCTTCTTCTTCTTCTTCTTCTTCTTCTAAAATATACAGTAACAAACAAACAAAACACTAGCAAATCAGAGCAGGCTTTAGGATGTAATTTCCTTCTTGTTGGTCACCATTTAAAAATGTCCAACCATACTCTAACAGCAAAGAAGCTTGTGGAAGCATATGTACTTTCAAGTCTTTTCTGGATTCTATTCCCTGAAATCTATTCGCTGTGCTGCATTTAGTGAATAAAGCAGTAGGAGAATACGACCGTTTGGTCGCTATGACGCTCACACAGAAGCTCAACACAGGAGTTGCCCCTAGTGGTCAGTGTGCTCCCAAAGTGGGAGCGCTGCTCAGCTGGAGGATAGGCGCCAGGCGCCAGGTTCAAGGTTGGCGAGCACAGCTGCAGCAGTGTTGAGCCTCTCCTGCCTCTGTGGAGTACTGCCAGGAAGCGGCAGGTGAAGCAGGGCCAGGATGAGCGGGAGCGCGTGGCGCCTGGCCTGTGCTCAGGCTCCTTGCCAGCTGCCAGGGCTTCATGCACTACTACATCCCTCGGGCTCAAACCAGCAGTCCAACATCCCCCAAGGAATCCTGGATTGCAAGAGGGGGCAGGCCAGACTGAGGGACCACACCAATGCATGAATACATGCACCAGGCCTCTAGTCTTATATAATAAGAGAGTACTGATGTCTCAAACTATTAAGATTGAATTGTCTTTTTTTTTTTCTCTTTTCAATTTGCATAGTTTTTGCTTCATATATTTTTGGACTTATTGTTACATGCAATTATGTGATAAATGTTGTATCTTTTTGATGGATTGACTCTTAAATCCTCATAAAAATCTTCTCTTTGTCTATAGAAAAATAAATTAAGTTGATATAGAATATAACAAGAACATTTACATTAGAAGTAAATAAGAAATTTGTTCACTGAAAATTTAGGGAACAGTGCTTACACCATGACCCAGACAGAACTCTTGAGGTTTTTAACTAAGTGTTTGCTTATCCAAAAACAACTCCTCTGGTCTAATCTAAAGGCAAGTTACTTTACTTGCCTTTCTTTTCAGGTTAGAATCATTGGAAGTTTTACTCTTGCTCTATTCTACCCCCTCCGTAAAATCCTATTTTTGTAATGTTTACTGTTTACTAGCTAGTTCTAACTTTTTAAGACTTACCATACTCAATATTACAATATGTGACTTAGACCTAATCTTTAATGATGAGACGCATTATAATTACTTGAAGATTCCATTATCTTGTAGCCAATGTTTCTGGAATCCTAGTACCAAGACCCTGTCAGTATTTAAGAGATGATTTATATAGTCTAATCCCAAACTTTGACCAATAGTATCAGATTTAAAGATTACATGTTCTACGTACTTTCCACCTACGATGATTAACAAAAGTTAATTTTCATTAACCTTTAAGGAAGGAAATTTTTAAATAGTGACTTCCACAAGTATATTGAAAATGTGACTCATTATTTTAAAAAGTATGCAAACTTGAATAGAATATTTCTCTAAATGATAGCAGTAGCCCTATCTTCCATTGATTGGTTTCAAGGCTCTCTTCAAAAAAGAGATGTTAGGGGCTTTCCTTAATGTCTGGAGGTCTAGTCATCTGTTTACATTAAAGAGTTAAGAACTGTAAACCCTGAATGCAATAGCAGTTTATTTTAAAGTGGAATTCATCAAAGGGTGAAGTGGTAGCGAGACAGCTTTTTCATGATGGGCCCTTGAGAGTCTCTATTTATAGGTCATTCTCTATGCCCACTCAAATGTCTCTGGAGTTTAACTTTGTAAAAGAAAATATTTGGTTGACAGGCATTTGGCAAACAGGGTTAGAGAAGGGAGCTGGGGAAGGCATCTTTCAATATGTAAACTTACCTTTAGTCCCTGGCTACCAGATTTCTTAGAGATAAGTGGAATAGTGATACTCTTAGATTTCAATAATCAATAGGTACATTTCCACTTAATTACTTTATTAAGTACACCTATACACCTATCTTTTGCTGTGCTGGGTATTCCTGAATCTATAACTCTTTAGTTCAATTTCTACAGGAAATAAGCTTCCATTCTCCTTTGCAGAATGTAGTAAGTATGGTAGTTAAGTATATGTGGAATGGAAGACTAGATCTGTGAGTTTTACAACTTCTTTCAATAATTTTTCCAATATGCAAACGAAATATTTTTATATTTAGGAAGATTATTCATTGTGAAGTTAAAATGTAATGGGGGGAAAAAACCTTCCCAAATTAAACATTTAATTTCACAAAAATACATAAATATAGGTGGTTCCATAAGATTCAACAATGTAGTTCAAAGTTATAAGAAAACTTTGTAATAAGCTAGTATTCTGTAAAACTGGGAAGGAGCTAGGTTATAAGGAAAAAGTAGAGAGCCATGATGAAACTAAGAAATAAGAAGAAAAAGGGAAGGAGAGAAACATTACATTTTAGTACCAATATTCAGATGTAATATTTTCATATTATATTTGAAAGAGAAAATTATTCTCATGCATATAAAAGTTTTTTGTTTGTTTTTTGGTTAATCCTCACCTGAGAATATTTTTCCCATTGATTTTTAGAGAGAGTGGAGGGAGGGAGAGATATAGAGAAAGAAACATTGATGTCAGAGAGACACATCAATTGGTTGCCTCCTACAGGTGCTCTATCAGGACCAGGGACCAAGCCTGCAACTGAGGTATGTGCCCCTGACCATAATCGAAACCAAGACTCTTCATTTCACAGGCCAATGATCCAACCAATGAGCCAAACCAGCTAGGGCCATCCATACAACAGTTTTAAAAAATTACCTGAAAACATGACACAGCTATAGATTATTTAATAGTCTTTCATAACTTCAACAAAAATGAGCACAATTAGATTTAACTTATTTTTTTCCACAAAGGCTTATTTGTAACTTAAAAAAAAAAAATTAGGAATCCACTCTAGCTTTTTATTAGGACATGTCAAAACAGGATCACTGCCTATTAATCACAGGTTTCTGGTGTTTAAGATTCTACATATGAATGATGCCAAATGACATTTGTTTGTAGCTTTAAGTTCTCTTAGCATAATGCCCTTGAGGTTGATAACTGTCACAAAACAGAGGTTTCTAATGAACAATTCAGAATTCCATCTAATGAGTTGGCCATCCTATATAATAAAAGGCTAATATGCAAAGAGACCAAACGGTGAAACAACCGGTTGCTATGACGTGTGCTGACCATCAGGAGGCACGTGTGGAATATGGCAGGCACTGGTAGCAGGCAGCAGAGCAAGGAATATGGTGGGCACCCGCCGCAGTGGGATGGTGAAGCAGGTGTGGTGAGGTGCCACATTAGGGTGTCATTAGGGTGAGCCTCTGGTGGTTACTGAAAATTCTTTGCTCCCAAGCACCATGATCCCACTGGATGCTTGCACCTGCTGTCGCCGCCATCCCCAATCACGCCCACTGCCAGCACTGGAGCTGCAACTCGAACCTGCTGCCAGCCCCAATTACCCTTCAGAACTTCTCCACCTTCCCCTGCTCCTCAGGGGCAATGGCTGCCACTCACAACCATTGCCAGTGCCAGAGCCTCCCGCCACTCATACCCACTGCTAGTATTGGCCCTGCTTGTACCCAATGCTTGCTCCCGGCACCAGTCCTGATCACTTGGTGCTGTCAGCGGGTGCAAGCAGTGGCTGCCGGCTCTGATTGCCCGAGGGCTTCTCCACCTCCCCCTACTCCTGAGGGGCAACTGGGGCAGCAGCTGCCACCTGCACCTGCTAATGGTGTCAGCCCCACCTCACACACACTGCTGCTCCGCGCTGACAACAGGTGAGAGTGGGGCCAGTGTCATCAGTGCGTGGGAGCAGCCGCAGCAGGAGTGGGGCTGCTGCAGACAGGGGGCGAGGGGCTATGGTGAGAGGCAAGGCAAAAGAGTGGAGGATGGGCTGAGGCCCGCCCCCGTGCCCACTGCAGCCTCACAGCCCACAGTTCCTTTCAAGGTGCACAAATTCGTGCACTGGGCCCCTCGTTCTAAATAAAAAAAAGGACCAATTAACAAACTGGTACATGAAATAAACCACTTTGTTCCTGGTCTATAAACAATTGTGCTGTGAAATCAGAACTATTACAATAATTTTCTTTTAATAACACTGATTATATGCTTTTCAACACCAGCTTATCAAATGGAGGGAAAAAAGGGGAGTTTTCCCTCCACCCCAAGCAACATTTTCAGTTCTAGAAACTGATTCTATCAAATAACACTGCAATAAGTGGGCCATTGTCTGGAATTTAGAATGAGTCTTTGTTAATTAGAAGCCATTATTATTTAATGTAAAAATGTGTCTTCATTTCTTTTTAAAAAATTACTCACTTAAGGCTCTGGTTAAAGTCTGATTCCTTGTCAAAGATGCATACCAGGGTTGCAAGTTCTATCGCTAGCCACAGTTGGGGCAACCAATAGATGTGTCTCTCTTACAGACATTTTTTCACTCTCTCCTTCCCCCCCGCCTGCTTTCCCTCCCACTCTCTCTAAAACCCAATAAAAATATCCTCAGGTGAGGATTAACAAAATAAAACAAAAAAATAGCCCAAAAGACATTTAGATAATTATTCTTATTAGTGATTATATAACTTCAGAAAGTGTAACTTTATTCAGCTGAGGGAGGAAAATGTATTACTTACATTTTTCCTTATTGCCATTGGTATTATGCAAGAAGTCTCCATCAGAACGTGTTGTAGGAAAGTCATCTTCATCATCTTCTACCACTAAATAAAATATATTTAAGGATATTAGGATGAAAGAAAATAGAAATTAACCAATTTATTCTTAGGTTCAATTAAGTCAATACATTCTGGATTCTTTTGAGTGCAAGATTTAATTCATCTTTGTATTTTCTTTCTTTCTTTTTTTTTTAAAATACATTTTTATTGATTTTACACAGAGAGGAATTGAGAGGCATAGAGTTAGAAACATTGATGAGAGAGAAACATCGACCAGCTGCCTCTTGCACACCTCCCACTGGGGATGTGCCCGCAACCAAGGTATGTGCCCTTGACCGGAATCAAACCCTGGATCTTTCAGTCCGCAGGCCGACGCTCTATCCACTGAGCCAAATCGGTTTCGGCCATCTTTGTATTTTCAGTGCTTATCAAAGTATGCCCAACAAATATGCTACAGACATTAATACATTATTATAAAAACTGTACCCATTCTCATTTGCATAAGGGATGGTATTAAGATATGAGTTATTTTGCCCTTTAGTCTTCCTACCTACCTTGGGGCAATTTCTTAATTCCATCAGAAGCCTATAATGGCTGAGCAGAACTGTAAAAGGACAACTTCCATGCAGAAAAGACCTCAGCTTGCTTCTGGGAGTTCCTAAACTTACCATTTCTAAACATGTAGGAAAAAATATAATAATTTACAGGTGTGACTAATGATTTTTATTCATCCCACTGTCTGTGCCTAGAAATCCTTTTAACTTATCCAATTCTATAAAGAACAAAATCCTGTGTTCTCCTCTGTTTATCTTTGTTCATTTCACTTTTTTTTTTAACTGCCTAACATACTTTAACTTTTTGCACTATATATTCCACCGCTTTTTTTTCTTTTTAATGTATTTTATTGATTTCAGAGAGGAACGGAGAGGGAGAGAGAGAAACATCAATGACGAGAATCAATGATCGACTGTGTCCTGCATGCTCGCTACTGGGGACATGTGCCCTGGCCTGGAATGATACTAGGTGTACCAGCTAAAATGCGAATTTTTTTTCAATAGATGGAGTTACACATATGTTGATAAATATGCAATTTGATATGTATGCTATTTTGTGGTATTGACAGCAAGCTTTAAACTTTGTCAAATTTGCTGAAGGTGTTAACAGATATTTTTATGATTAAAAATGTCGAATTTCATGCCAAAAAAAGATCATTTGAGGGAAGTTTTAATTCATTATTTTATTTTGAAGAAAAGGTTATCGTATACTTTGGAAAGCTTATGGTAAACGTGCTCCATCTCAAGATACATGTGAATGCTTGTTTAATCGTTTTAAAAGTGATGATTTTGATGTGAAAGACAAAGAACGTCCAAAGTCTGAAGACCAACAATTACAAGCATTATTAGATGAAGATGCATGTCAAACTCAAAAACAACTTCCAGAAAGATTAAACGTTGTTCAACAATTTCTGATCATTTACAAGCAATGGGAAAGATTTTAAAGGAAGAAAAATGGGTGCCTCACCAACTGAATGAAAGACAAATGAAAAACCAAAGAGTCATCAGTAAAATGTTGCTTTAACAGCACCAAAAGTATTTTTTGCATCGAATTGTGAATGGCGATGGAAAGTGCATTTATTTTGAGAATCCCAAATGCACAAAATCATGGGTTGATCCAGGTCAATCATCAACATCAACTGCAAGGCCAAATAGCTTTGGAAAGAAGATAATGCTTGCTTTTGGTGGGATCAGGAAGGTGTGGCATATTATGAGCTTCTAAAAACAAGTGAAACTGTTAATACTGATCGCTACTGACAACAAATAATCAATTTGAACCACCCTTTGATCATCAAACGACCAGAATGGGCCAGAAGACACGGCAAAGTAATTTTGCTTCATGATAATGCACCATCACACACTTCAAAAACTAAAGACATGTTAAAAGATCTTGCCTGGGAAGTATTAACCCACTGTCTGTATTCACCAGACTTTGCTCCTTCAGATTACATTTGTCCTGATGGATGGCACATGCACTTTCTGAACAGCACTTCAAAACATACAAAGTAGTGGAAAATTGGGTCTGAATGGTTTGCCTCAAAATAAGAGTTCTATTGGGACGGTATCCACAAATTACCTGAAAGATGGGGGAAATGTGTAGCAAGCAATGGACATTACAATGGATGTTTCTCTTGAACTTATCGTATTTCGGATTACAAAATCTGAAATTATTAATTGGTACACTTAGTACTGTGACTTCCTGGTTCATAGGTCAATCCGCAACCACTAAGCCACACCAGGCTATATATTTCACTTTCTAAAGCTCAGCCCCCAATCTTATTCTCTGCTTTCTATCAAGTGCTCTTAATAAGACTTCACTGTATTATCTTTTGAAAAACACTCTTTTTACAAAAAGAATCTTCATTCTAAAATGTTGTACTTCTTGATTTTATCCCTTTACAAGGAGTATCTCATCCATTTTAGCTGTGTTTCCAATAGATGCAAAGCACATTACTGTTCCTTATTCCCTCCTTGCCTGCTTGCCTTATTGTCCCTAACCTCTCTGCCTGCCTGCCTGATCATCCCTACTGGCCTCTGCTGCCAGCCTGATGTCGCCCCCAATGACCCTCCCATGCTGGCCAATTTGGTTCTGATTGGTTGGTTTCTATGCCAGTCAGTGTCAAAAGCTCAGCCTCCTAGACAACCACTGGCTCCTTACAGTTCACAAGATTTGGTTCTGATTGGTTGATTTCTGTCAGTCAGTGTCTCCAGGATTATCTCCAGGCCTAATCAGAGAGTTGGGGCTGATCACCTCTGCAGAGATCCATAGCAAAACAGAGTTGCAGCTGCTGGCAAAGCCTGGAGAGACAGAGAGAGGCAACAGCTGATCAACAGCTGCCACGGAGGTTGCAGATCAGACCCTGCCTCTCTCTCTGGGCCTGATCCACACTTCCGTTGTTCAGTTGAGCTTTTGGTCAGTCATTACGGACCCTAGGTTTTTATGTATTAGGACTGCCATTTCTAACTAGTGGGCTATTTCATTTTTTCTAATTATTGGGCTAGTTCATCATTTCAAATTTTTGCTACTCATCTATAACAACTCTTTTAATCCATAAGCTGCTATTACCTAATACCTATTATTCAGCTAACTGATACTAATATCTGACACTGTTTTTTCCTAGTCCATCATTCCTATAAACTTCAATATCCATAATGAAGCCTCTGTAGACACCTAAATACAAGATTAATCAAATGCCCAAATTCTGTGGATCATTGTTATCTCATCAATAGTTTATAAATATGGTCAATTCTAGAAATTCATTAACAGCATACTGCTATGCTTTTTTGTTTGTTTTTAAATATATTTTATTAATTTTTTACAGAGAGGAAGGGAGGAGAGTTAGAAACATAGATGAGAGAGAAACATCAATCAACTGCCTCCTGCACACCACCTACTGGGGATGTGCCTGTAACCAAGGTACATGCCCTTGACCAGAATTGAACCTGGGACCCTTCAGTCTGCAGGCCAATGCTCTGTCCACTGAGCCAAACCGGTTAGGGCCACACTGCTATATTTTAAAATCAGTACTCATCACCAGACAAGATTCTGATCCGGATCTTGACTCAATACTACTCTGATTAACTGCCCTTAACCATCTGTATGCCATAAGCGTCTATAAATGCAAGCAGCAGACCTTTTCTAATTAAATTCAAACTACTGTGGCAGTTAACTGATTAAACACTGAAAGGCTTGCACTTCACTCATATCATTAGTATCTTGTTTGGATTATTGAAGTTTCACTTTTATATCCCTAATTACCTGATAATTAGGGATACAATCAGCTTGTACCACCAAACAGGGATTTTCAACCTTGTTTTTCGAGCCCAATGCTCAATATATAAAACTGATGAAAACAAGAGCCACTCTGGCTAAAGACTGGCCTTCCTCCTTTCTTTTACAATCAAACAATCTTTTGTCCATTCTTGAGGCACCTTTAAGGGATATCAGACCTGGATTGAAATCACTGTTCTAATATAAATCCCCTATCTCAATCAGATTGGTTTCCCTTACCAACACAAACTGATTATGCTAAATTCCATTTCTGGATATTACACATTCCTGCTTTCTATATCCCTGCAATATCCCAAATTACATTAATAATACCCGCTATTTATTTTTTGCTGTTAAGCACAGCACAAACATATATAATTCTTATTTTAATTGTCACAATTGTATGTGCAGGACATAGCATCTATTTTACAGTTGAGGAAACAGGTATGAAGAAATGTTTCCTCAATGAACAGAGTATTTCCTTTAATGTAGTACATATGTCTTATTTTACAATCAAGAGTATGTTTCAGTTAAAGATAATGTCTTCAACTTCTGAAATCCCAGAGTACCTAAGAACTAAAGGGTTAATTAAATCTTACTGAAGAATGGTAGGAGTGGTGGAGGTCAAGGTTAAGATTGCCTTATTAGCAATTCTGATAAAACATTTTTTTTTTGATAAAACATTTTATATGAAAAAAACTGATGATCACCTAAAATAGAATTTGCTATTACCATTTCTATGACACATTTATTGAAGAACAGTAATTCTTATAATTCACATACTTGATTTTGATAATTTAATGAAAATCCCTAAGACATAGGTTAGCATCTCTGATCTAAAATAAAAATAAAAAACTAAGGTCCATGTCCTTATTTTACCTTTATCCAGCATGTATTCTTAAAACTGTCATTATTTCTAAAAAGAGCAATTATAGAAAAACAACTGTTACAGGCAGAATTGTCCCCTAATATCCCTATGTCAAACTCCCCCATAGCTCAGAATGTGAATGTATCTGGAGACAGTGACTTTATGGACATAATCAAGTTAAAATGAGATCATCAAAGCAGCCCTGATTCAATATGACTGATGTCTTTATTAGAGGAAGAAATTTGGACACAGAAGAAATATGATATAAAGACCCGGGGAGACGATGAACCTCTATAAGCCAAGAAGAAAGGACTCCAACAGATCCTATCCCTCATGGCCCTCAGAGGGAACTAACCTTGCCAACAACCTGATCTCAGACTTCCAGCTTCCAGAACTGTAAGAAAATTAATTTCTGTTGTTTAAGCCACCCAGTCTGTGGTACTTCATGATAGCAGGTCTAGCAAACTAATGCAATAGTCTACCACTGTTGCTATTTAATAAAAATGAATAATGTTTAAAATCATTTTTCAACTCTTCTATTCAATCTGGTTATAACTGTAGCCCTACTTCTACTTCTCTCGCTATCACTTTTGTCTTTCAAAAGGTATATACTTTTGATGTGTATCATCTATAATAATAAAAGCCTAATATGCTAATTAGGCCCAACAGCTGAACAACCTTTCAGATGTCCTTCCAGATGACCTTCAGGGTGACCTTCCAGATGAGACCAAGGCTGTGAGGGCTGAGCCCCTTGAATGAATTTTGTGTATCAGGCCTCTAGTTTAAAAATAAACAAGGAACCCTGGCTGGTTAGGCTCAGTGGATAGAGTGCTTCCCTGTAGATTGAAGAATACCAGATTTGATTTCCAGTCAAGGGCACATACCTCATTTGCAGGCTTAATCTCCAGCCCTGTAAGAGTGTGTGTGTGGGAGGCAACCACTTGATGTACCCCTGGTGGCTGATATCATAATATACATACACACACACACACACACACACACACACACACACACATTTAGTTTAAAGGGATATTTTCAAGCAAATGAAAGTTGATGGGGAGAAACCAAGATGGCGGCACAAACAACTGGTCTGCCACCTTGCACAACAATTTCAAAATTAAAACAAATATACAGGACGTATATCACCCAAATCCACGGGAAGGCTGACTGAAAGAAAGGAGTGCAAGAGCCGAAAAGCTGAGGAGCCTAGAAGGTATCCCGGAGTGAACACAGCTGATACTCACATCCAATGAGCCTGAAGGTCAATTCCTCCCAGTGATACCAACAACAATCAAGATTTAACTACAATAAGGCTCTACACGCAGTCCCCAAAGGGGAGCACCAAGAGTGTCCACCTCAGGTAACTGGGGAGGCTGACCCACTGGGCCATATAGGATACCAAACACACAAAGCGATCCTACCAACTCTGGGAAGCAGCAAAAATGCCGAGACAAGGAAATAGATCTCAAACGAAAGAGAGGAAGGAGAACAAAAGACTGGATAAAGAGTTCAAAAACACGGTTATAATGTTTTTCAAGAATTTCCTAGAAAGGACTGATAAAATGAGACCTTTGAGGATATAATAAAGCATACACTGACTGAAATAAAAAATATTATACAGAGTCCTAAAAACAGACCGGAAGATTGCAAGAATCAAATAAAAGATTTGGAACATAAAGAGTCAAAGGACACTCCCCAGCAGAAGCAAGAGGAGAAGAGACAATTTCAAGTGAACCAACATCAGAATTATAGGGGTCCCAGAAGAAGAGGGAGAGCAAGAAACTGAAAACCTATTGGAAGAAAAGTGACAGAAAACTTCCCCTCAACTGGTGAAAGAAATAGACTTACAAGTCCAAGAAGCCCACAGAACCCCAAACAAAAGGAATCCAAAGAGGACCAGGCCTCTATCCTATCTAATAAAAGAGTAATATATAGATTGACCATCACTCCAACACGTAAGTTGGTTGCCACCATGTGGCCAAAGATCCTGCCCCTATGTGGACACAAGATGGCCACAACAAGATGGCCTACAGGGGAAGGCAGTTGGGAGGGACCAGGCCTGCAAGGGAGGGCAGTTGGGGGTGACCAAGCTGGAAAAGGGGGGAAGTTGGGGGCAACCAGGCCTGCAGGGAAGGGCAATTGGGAGGGATCCAGGCCTGCAGGGAAGAGCAGTTGAGGGGGACCAGGCCTGTAGGGGAGGGCAAATTAACCTCCACCCTACTACACCAAACCACACCCACTAGCCAATCAGGAGAAAATATGCAAATTAACCCAATCAAGACGCGGCTGGCCATAAGCTGGAGCCAGCAGGAGGGTTGGGTTGCCATGGCAATGAAGGAAGCCAAGCTTCCTGCCTGCCCTGGACTTACAAAATTTCAATTATAGAAGAGAAATAAATCCTAGATACTTGATTCCAGCTGGCCCTGTCCTCCAATCAAGAAGGCACTGAAAAAAGGAAAGGGGCTAGGACCTTGGGACCTGGGGAGTGATCAGGCCAGGATGGGACAGCAGGGGTCTTTGGGAGTAAGCAGACCAGCAGGGGGTCCAGTTTGGGGTGTGCAAGCTATCAGTGAGGATCAGATGGAGATGATTAGGACAGTGGGGGTGGGGACAATTTGAAGTGAGCAGGCCAGTGGGAAGGGAATTTGAGGCGAGCAGGCCAGCAGGGGGGGCAATTGGGGGTGAGCAGGCTGGCAGGCAGAGTGGTTAAGGAGCAATCAGGCATTCAGGCAGGAGAGCAGCTGGAAGCCAGCAGTCCCAGATTGCAAGAGGGATGTCCGACTGCCAACTTGGGCCTGATCCCTGTAAACTGGCAGTAGGACATCCTTCGAGGAGTCACAGATTGGAGAGGGTGCAGGCTGGGCTGAGAAACCCCCCTCCCCTGCCCCGTGCATAAATTTTGTGCACCGGGCCTCTAGTCCTATATAATAAAAGGCTAATATACAAATTGTCCCCTCGACCTGGAAATCGACTAGCAAGCAGGCGGTCCAACTACTCATGTCCCCTCCCTCTGGCCAGACCCTGCCCTTGCGTGAATTCATGCACCGGGCCTCTAATATATATATAATTATATATAATCTGGCCACTAGGTGTATATATGTATATGTATATTTTTTTTGATGAAGGAGAAATAGCTCAACCACCTTTATCTTTAGAGAAATAAGCATCCAATGTTAAAAAGCCAACTTAAAAAAAGTGTATCAAATATAAAAAACGTTAAAACTACTTATTTTGTCTAAATTTTAAGATGATATGGCCTTCTGCTTCTGGCCAAGATAGAATAAAGGAACTGAATTTACCCTCTAGCATAAAATTAAAACCTGGACAAAATATATGAAACAATGGTTTTTAAGAATACTGTATATTTGGCAAAAAAAGATTTGATAAAACATTTTATATGAAAAAAACTGACAATCACCTAAAAGTGGCAAGGAACAAATGATGTGAACTCTATCAGTATCCAACTTCCTGCCTAGAAAGAGATTCCAAGCTACAGAGTAAGGAGGAACCCAGGATAAGCCCAGTAGACTCTCTGAGGTACGGAAATGGAACTGAGTCCAGACAGACAAAGGCAACTAGATTTCACATGAGAGAATACTAGAAAGGGGACAGCTACATAGAGAAAGAACCCAGGAAATTGAAAGAAGGGTCCCCTTGAGTATTCAGCAAAGTATTGATAGCACATACAAATAAGGGAACCATAGAAGTCAGGGAAAGAACCAACTAAGAGGATTCCAAGAAAAAGTTTCCTTAGAGTAATTGAGGTATATTACTTAAAGATATGTAGTGATAAATGAGCATTCTATAAACTAAAGTAGCCACTAAAATAACAATTATATCTAAAAAGCAAAGAAGGAGATAAACAAAGAACAGAGAAGACAGAATTTGAACTCCGATAAAACACATTTTAATAAGATCAAGAAATGAAACCATGTCAAGCAACTGAGTTATACTGTGAATAAAAGTAGTACTATTTAGCAATAATTTGTCTTCACAGCAAATAAGAGAAAAACTCAAGGACATATGTTGTCATCAGTAATATTTTCAGCAGTAACAAAGAAAAAGTTCAAAACTCACATTATTAGGTAGCTGAAGATCATAGCTCTTAAAAAGCTCATTATAAATTATTTTAAAATGTATACATAGCTCAATTATTGCTTTTTCTAAAACAGAGGACAGAGAAGGGAGAGTGATGAAGAGAGGAAGATGAAAAGAGAAAGACAGGGAGGAAGGAGAAAAAAAGAGAAGGAGAAAGAGCTCAATTGATTCCAGAGGATTTAATATAAACATATGCCTATCTGTAAGACTCATCATAGGGTAAATATATTAGACATAATCATATAAAAACCCCTATATTACTAAGATGACAGACACCATTTTTAATAAAGAACTTTAAAATCATTTAAAAATCTTCTATGTATATATGAATCTAGTATGTATGAATCATCAGAATAATTAAGATGTGTTATTAAAGTATGTAACTTATATAGACACGGAAATCTGTTACATTGGGGGTTTGCAGCAAAAATGACTATTAATTACCTTTATCAGTTAAAGACATTACCCTTTAAGATCAAGAGGCTTTACATCCATTCATTCTCCAAGTAAAAATAGTGGTAATAGCCTAATTAACCTTTATCCCTTTGAAGTTCATCCTTGGAGACAGCATCAGCACAGGCATCAAAGTACTTCTGTAGAGTATCAACTTGTCTACATAGGATATCTCTAAAGGTTTCCATTTCAGCCAATTTCTCACGTAAACTGTGGCCTTTCTGCAAAACACAAAAAAAAGGAGTGGTGGATGTAATCCAAATTAACAAAACTGTAACTTTTTTAATCCTATTGTATTTCATCAGTTTTTAAGTCTACATCTTACTAATGAGGGCCATCGGGTAGGGAGAGATGTCAATGTAATACTTCTAGGAATTAACTTGAAACTGACTAACAGTGACTAGATAGTGATAAGCCTGAAGGAAATAAGGGACAAATAAGCCTGACAATTTGCTCATGTAAAATTAATATTTTCAAATTATTGACATTGTGCGAAAAAAAATTGCGAAAGACTTTGAAATGGGAAAAAATATTACTGGATATTTTTCAAAGGAATGGTGTGTGCTATCCATGGAACCTTTAGCATTTATGGAATGTTGTCTAAGCATATACAAATCTTTGATTTCATTACATTTGGCCTATTTTATAATTCTTTAAGTAGTAGAAAAATAAGAGTAAAGTAAATTATTTTGGCCATAGATATGCAAATGATTTTTGATTGGTGGAGATACACTAGTTTCTAATCTGCGGATACTGAACAGTTTTGCATATATTAGCAAAATTATTTTGGCATTCTTCATATTTTCCTTGGAACCAATTTGTTTTTACATCTTATCTATTAAATAAATGAAAAAATCTTGGATGTGTTCATTTTCTATTAGTATGAGTCATAAATGTTAATCCTTAACAAATTATTCTGAACTTAAATTAGATTGTAGAGAAGTTCTTTTGAAAAAACTATTAAATAAGTTCTGTTCACAACATGCAGGACTAAATTCAATTTATCAGGCCTTAACTTAATGCATTCACAACCACAAACCTTGAATGAAGAGGTGGATGTTGCAGAATAGCCACTTGCTCCAGACACCAGTGATACCATTGAACCATGTCGACGCAAGCTGGATTCAGATCCATAACCAGATTCAGTCTAAAAAAGAAAGTAAACTACATGAAAAAAAAATTAAATATAAATTACTTAATCATCACAAGAAAAAAAATTGTAACTGTGTGAGATAGATGTTTAACTTATTGTAATCACTTCATTATATATGCATGCTTGTTGTAGTTGTACACCTTGCTAACATATATAAATGTTACAATCATTATGTTATACACCTTAAATTGCTACTAGGTTAATTGTACCTCAATAAAACTGGAAAAATACTTAAGAATAAACAAGAGCTTTCCTATAAATTAATAAGGCTGTTATACAAATTGGATAGGACAAAGGCAAAACGTAAAATTAATAGAATATGGGTTAAGATGTCTTGAACCACTTTTCTTTTTGTAGCACAAAGAAATAAACAGTAAATTTTTTTAAAAAAAAGTATTAAGAGGAAAACTTCCAGTACTATTTCTTTATAGTTCTATTTCCAGTACTATCACTTATCACTGTCTCAATGAAACCTCTACTATTACATTAGGCAGTTTGTCTTTGTATTCTCAACCATTCTTCACATATCAAAATTATAGCGTTTACCAATACTTGGTTATATTTGGATTTTATAATTACTATGAAACTTGGTTCTTCTGGAAGAAGACTAACTTTAAATATATATTTTATTGATTTTTTTTTACAGAGAGGGATAGAGTTAGAAACATCGATGAGAAACATCGATCAGCTGCCTCTTGCACACCCCCTACTGGGGGTGTGCCTGCAACCAAGGTACATGCCCTTAACAGGAATCGAACCCGGGACCCTTTAGTCCGCAGGAAGACTATAACTTTTTCATTTTTATAGCCACCTCAACAGACCATGTCACACACAAAACTTTCAACTTTATCAGTCTGTTATAAAAAAAAGATTGAACTCCAGGATATTAGACATAGCACTGTAATAATCCTCTATAATAAAAGCTAAATATGCAAATTGTCCTCTCGGGTGGGAGTTCAACCTCTCGCCATGATGTGCTCTGACCACCAGGGGGCGGCACGGAACATGGTGGGCATTGACAACAACGTTGGTAGTGGGTGGCAGTAGAGGCGCTGCAAGCCCTGATGAGCCTGATGAGAGCAGGACTGCAGAGGATGGTAGAGCAGGTGAGTGGATAGTGCCAGGCCAAGGCGGGTGTGAGGGCATGAGTTTACTTATAACCCCTAATCATTAATATAGTATTTTGAAAACACCAAATTCTATCTAAAATTAATAATGAGAAATTTAAGTACAGTTATTGTAGGAATATTTTTCTCTTTCAATATATCTGCTTTAAGTTCCCTTAAATGAATTGCTGTGCAAAAACTTTCTTTCCCAAATTTGTGAGTTAATAAGCAATATTCCTGAACAGGTTTGGCAAAAACATTTAATATCATTTTAGTTCAATAAGAAATGTACTGAATATATCTTAATATAGAACGAGGTTTACTTTTAAATACTACAGTAATAAGACCAAAAAAGCACAATCTTTTGGCCACTAGAGGGGGTCAGTAGCATTTTCCAAATAGCTGTATACCACTCGGAAAACTGATATAAAGGTTACTGTTGGTCAAAGTATAAGAGTAACCTTTAGACTAATTCCTTTACATGTATTGTACCCTCTATATCTAGGCTTTTGGGAAAAAATGAAAAGCATGATAATTTAAATTATGTAGTTCAAAGTTATGAATTTAATAAAATACCAAAAATGTCCTAAGAACAATTTCAAAAAACTCTCTTAAAGTCACAGCTAAATCTTATCATTTGGTTTAATCATGTGGAAGATAAACTTATATATAATCATTCTGCACAGTCTGTTCAATAGCATACCAAAGCAGTGGTATAAATTACAGTAAGAATGTTGGCTTATAATTTTCAATGGAACCATCTTTTGAAAACCTTATTTTTTTCCTTAGCAACGTTCTTCAGCAAGAAATACAATAAAAAAGTAGAGACAGTAACAGTAATTAAGTAACTTCCTCAGGGTGTCAAAATTATGTTATTAATGGCCCACTCAAAAAATATTGTAATTTTTTTCCACTTTAACTATGGAAAGAGAGAAAATATAAGATTAAGTGTTAATATAAGCACTAAAAAGCATTTTCCAGAAACTGAAATTCTGAAACCTGTTATAAAACCAAATAAGCTTGCTACCTTCAATATTATTATTTTAAAGCAAACCACATGAGAAGAAACTATAATCAGGAGAACAATTTAATAGAGTTGTAATTTAAAATATCATAAGTTGTAATGGCAACAATTTTATTCTTGTCTAGGTCAACAGAATATTTGAGATAAAATTTGGCACAATAATTTCATACTTGGAAATATTACAAATTTCATCTATTTAGCCTTTCAAATATGTATGGGATCCCCCTAGAGAAGCAGTAGCCTCTAAAATAAAAAAAAAACACAAGGATAAATTTAAGACAGGCTTTAGTACCACTGTAACCACTAGACAATAAGACAAGTTAATCATTACAAATCCTGGGCTCAATTTTATTTTTAAAGTAATATGGGTAGTATGGTACTATAGTTCTCCATTTTAAACTCATGTATACATTTTTAGCCTAAGTTTCTAACACATGAAACTTAGGCTAAAAATATATACATTTTACATGGAGGCCAAAGGTAGTTCTTTATTGAGCCAGATGGAAAGATATAATACAATTCATTCATACAACCAACATTATTAATGTATCAGATCAGGAGAGGTTCAATATACAATGATTTCCAGAAATTGCAGTCTCATGAATCAAATAAATTAAAAAATATATTTAAGAAAATGGTGTTAAAGAAGATTTTATCATATTCTGCATAAAAAAAGCCCAACGGCAATACAATTAAACTTCGAGTACAATAGCTGCTTAACCTCAAGATACTTTTTTCAAATCATACTGAAAAACAGAACATTTGCTCAGAACTAGTTCTAGGAAATTTCTTCTTTTTCCCTTTCAGACCCTAGTCATTCTGATACCATGATTTTAAAAAAATATCATGATATAAGGTCATTTATAGATCTTGATTATTCCTCTTCCATTTTCTTCTATGAGAGCACGAGAAGAACTTTCACTTACAGACATATCTAAATAAGCAAAGTGTTAGAGTGAGGTGAGGCTGAAAGGGTTAAGCATGGCCTTATCACACACCCTTGTTACCTTTAAAAGAATGCAGAAGAAAGTAAGACATCGTCTATCACTATTGGAAGTACTAAAAAAAAACAAAAAACAGCCCAAATACAATATGTATATCCTTTTATCTACAGGGAGAACTTAGTAAACTACCAAGCCCTTACTCTGTACCAAAAGCTGTTTAATAACCCAATCTGTGATACAAAAACAATTCTAAATAAACTAAATTTAACACTCTGAAATTCAGTCTTATTTTCTTAATCTTTCCTCCTTTTGAGGGAGCCTTAAAAGGAAGGTGAGAAATAACTAGTTAAATCAAATAAGGCTGTTTAAAGGAAATCTGTTAAGCAATTTTCCACCCTACCTTTACAAAGCAAATACTAAAAGATAAGGGAGATCTTTTTTGTTTTGCTTTGATAGAGTTCAGTAACTTTAAATGGATGTTTTATATATTCATTTTCTATTCTTTAGATTTCAGCATTGTCTATATTATTTAAATATTTTTACAGCAATAACATCACTTCTACAAAAATTTAAAAAGTCACAGAATACATTTTTCATCTATCTAACTTGGAAAGGGTTAAAAATTAATAATACTAGTAATGTTGGAGTGAAATAAAGATCTACACATTCTTGCAGATGAAATTATATTAGCACAATCTTTTTCTTTTTTTAATCCTCACCTGAGGATATATATATTTTTTAATTGCTTTTTTTTTAGAGAAGGTGGAAGGGAGAGGACAGAAACAGAAACACCAATGTGAGAGAACACATAGAACACACTGGACCAAGGGACCAGGGATCAAGCCTGCAAACGAGGTGTGTGCCCTTGGCCAGAATCTAACCTGAGACCCTTCAGTGGGCAGCACTACACTCCAACCACTGAGCAAACCTGGTTAGGGCGGTATATAATCTTTTTGAAAAGCAATTTGGCAATATATATTTAAAAGTGCTCATATTCTTAAACCTAGCAATTCTATTTCTGAGAATCTATAATAATAAAAGCATAATATGCTAATTAGACCAGACGTTCTTCCAAAAGACCTTTTAGATGAAGCCGGAGCTGCGAGGGAAGGCGGGGTCCCGGGTGCCAGAGGGAAGCTGGTGCCAGCAGCCGGGAAGGAAGGCCTACTCTTGCATGAATTTCATGCATTGAGCCTCTAGTCTATTATAAGGGTGCAACAATACTGCAGAAAAATGCTTTATGTAGGAAGGCAATAAATACAAAAAAGGTAAATTATAAAGGTCTAATAATAAGCAAATGAGCACCAAAATCACAGCACAATAAAATATTAACAAAGCTGTGTTATAAGAAAAAATAATGTTAGATTGGGAAAATAAACAGAATATAAACCGTTTATCTCCACAAATGTTTTGAGGGTAAAATGTATAGAGAATAAGAAGGAAATACTGCAAAATAAAGAGTAATTGTCTTAGTTATAAATTAAAGATAGTTTTATGTCCTGGCCAGTTTTGTTCAGTGGTTGAGTACTGGCTTGCAGACCAAAGGGTCACAGGTTCAACTGCTGGTCAAGGGAATTTCAGCTACAGGTTCCCCACCGTTGGTCGGGGCGCTTACCAGAGGCAACCAGTTGACGTGTCTCTCTCACATCAAGATTTCTCTCTCTTCCCTCCCTCCTTCTCTTCCACACTTTAGAGAAATCAATGAAAAAATATCCTTAGGTGAAGATTTAAAAAAAAGATAGTTTTTTATTTCTTTTTCCTTATGAGCAAATATTACTTTAAAAAACCACATTGTGGGAGCAATAAAATCTAATTACCCTGTTTCCCCAAAAATAAGACAATGTCTTATATTAATTTTTGCTCCCAAAGATGCGCTAGGTCTTATTTTCAGGGGATGTCTTATTTTTCCATGAAGAAGAA